TATCTAGTCGAGCTGCTGTCTGTACATCATGATGGCACTGGAAATGGCCGCCGCTTATCACTGTCCCGGTCTTATTCCCTGTGCGCCTTGTTGACTTCGGATTGTTGTGTTTTCCTGAGGAAAACCACCGTTCGGAGGAAGATGATGGTTTGGCTTTCGGCGCGATCAGCCATTTCTTAAGTCATCCAATTAATACGCTACTTAGTTATATTCGGTCAAGCGACTGGAGGGGTTCACCACACGGCCATGAAATAATCTTAGTTTTAGCAAGCACTTTCTATTGTCACGGTGGCAGGTCAAATAGCAATAACCAAAATTAAAATATTTGTAACCATATATGGTGAATATACGAGAAATATGGACTGAGTACTCTATGTTTATCTGACTCCAAAATCCACCAATGCCAGAACACAAACAATGCTCTGCCTTTGTGCTGATCATTCTATGTAAATCTCAGTCTCCCATAGTGGCTGTGGCGCAAGGCCTCAACACACACACACACACACACACACACACACACACACACACACAGCGCCTAGAGTAGGCAGTGATTCGCTGAACCACTATGTTGCGAATAGGCCGGAACTCCCGGAAGGTGGAGACACTGGCATTGACAGTTCAGATAAGGATGGCCCGGTCCATGGGGATTAAAAATTAAGCCGATCTCTACTAATTGCAGACAGGCAGAAACACAAACGATGTAAAGGATCGTGGGCGTGGCAGCGTAAACATACGGATAGCTAGAACTGTGCCGCAGTGAATTTTAGCGCCAAAGACATTATCCTACATCCATTCCTGCTGTATCTGTCTAATGTCGGAAGTATGTCGTATCGGGCCAACCCCCTTCTCTGAACTGGTCGACGTCCTGCTATGTCTGGAGAAGGATTGGCGCCTAGTGTCTCCACCTTCGGTGGGAAAATGGATTGATACCCACGGGGCTCCACTTAAGGCCAGTGTGGATGCCGAACCGTTTGGGTTCGCGGTAGAAGATCTGACTGATTGCGACACCATACAGTTCAGCAGATAGTATCCTAATTTGCATCATAATAATTCAACTAAATTGATTTGGGAACCATGAAATGATGGTTAGCCGGGCATACGCGGGCCGAAACTTACTGTAGTTGGTGCCATGGGCCCAGGCGCTCGGCTATGGAGGTCTGCGACACTGAAAGGAAGCGGCTATTTATGCAACCCAAGATTGCAGAGATCTGATTGGAAGAGAATGTCATCGTTAAGAGTTGATCACTTGCTCAGTATCAGCTCTATATTTTTCTTAGAGAAAAGTCGAAAACGGGATTAGTTGAAGAACTTTTGAATTTAGGATTGTCCCTTCTTTTGCAGTCGATTTTGAGAAAGGTGTTAACGTGTAAGGATGAATTTTTTGTATCTAGCAACATCAGGAGAGGCATGGAGCCTGAAGCGACATTATTTTGATGCACTTCCTTTGAGCCTCTGGTTTGGCAGCCGAGTTTGAAGATAATTGAATTCATCATGGCGCTTTGTAAGCGGTAAAAAAAATTAATGCGAACTTATTCACATCACTCTAAAATCACTACGAGAGTAGGGACGGTGTTAGACCTAACCACATCAGCCTCACGTGGTCAGGCGGGGAGTCAGGGCAGAATCATTGGATGACATTCGATGGTGAATACTGAAATGGGTTCCGTCGGAGGTTCAGGGGAAACCGGAGGAGTCGATCATCCGACTGCACGAGGCCTATATGTAGAAGACCCAATTAAAACGAACGATTGATATACTCTATCTAATGTAGCCTAGAGTACACGGGTGCTTGAGTGCTTGATGAGTGCTTGTCTTTCTATATGTGGCGAACGCTGGCCATATATCGGAGGTTCGCTAGTCGGACTAACGTTATCCCTTTGATCCGACCTATCAGATCTCATCAAATACAGGACAATACAGGGATCAGATAAATGTCGCACTTCGAATCACGTGATGATATATGTCTTGGCAATGATAGATATATACCATTTGGTATATGTATACCAGGAAGGCATGGAGGATATATAAGGACACTCATTCATGCACTTAGTTTAGTTCTTCGCAATCAATCTAGTTAATCAAGCATTGGTTACCTTCTAGTTTCTGACTCGTCCGCACTTAACCAACAACCCAGCATACGTGCTCGGTTGGCCTTGTTTCTCTATTCGTTACCTTTACTGTTTCTAGTTGTTGATATTCTTACGGAGCCTGGAGGGGGCGATATACCTTCGACGTGATATACAGAGGACCTGGATGGTCATTGAGCATATGATTGCTTGGAAGACACTTAGGGTAAGTGTCCTGTCTCGAAATACAACTAACTAGAACCCTAGGTACGATACGAGGGAAGCCAGGTTGTGACACAATCCAATCTTCGGCATTTTCGGATATATTCTATTCGGTTGACCAAAGCAAGAGAGCTCATAATTTGTTTGATGAAGTCGTTTGAGCTCAGCTTCAGCGGCATTGGATAATGGCGTTCCTTCTTCTGTAAGTATTTCAGGTTTCTGTAAGCAACATTGGAGGCATACCGATTCTCACATCGAGGGTGACCACCCGTCATCAGAAGTGAAAGAGAAGATATGGCCATTACCCCGTGATCACAGAACTACATAGACGTCTGCATCACAGTACATGCTATATTCATAAGCCTTTGTAAATAGTCCCTGCTTGCGTTTGCGTTTTTGTTGATTTCTTCGCTTTTGGACTGCCTGACTGACGGGGATTCTTTGCAGCGCGAAGTTTGCGGGGCATTCTTGCTATTTTGCAAAGGGAAAAATGAATATCCTGCCTGGATCTGGATAGACTTGGGTGTGTTTATATTCCGTGAGGCGCAGATCAACTGGCCTCGGGAGATTTATTTTATTTACCAAGGCGCCACACTTTTCGGACACCATGTTTCTACGTTCTCTGTGTTTCATCTGCTGCCAACCACACACCACGGTTATACATGTTTCTTGTTAATTAAAGTTGAGGCCATAATGAGCTAGTTAAGCAGTAGGCCAATTCCTGCGACCCTGTTCAAGTACACGCCTCTGTTGCCATCTCTCATGTGGCACGGAAACACTCTTTCGGTACGGCAGGCTTTCTTGTGCCGGGTTAAGATAGAGTAACCTTATGGTATGGTCTTGGTTATAAATGTCTAACCAGGAAATGGGCGACTTCATGAGAAAGCTTAGCATCATTCTAATTGCGACACCATTTGGTAGCGGACTTAGTGTCGTAGACCCATACATCAGCTTTAGGAACCTATACCCATGTATTATGATCGCATTGGATATGAGACGACTGTTCTAGAAAATATACTTCTCGATGAGCTGTTTCACATGATGCTGTCTCTAATGTGCCAAAATGGCCCCTCATTGGCAATTTCCAATCAGGTATCAATATTTGGCTGATGGAGTCCGGAAAGACTAAAAAACTGAAAGTTCTGGGTGGGCGCTTATATGGATGATTAGCTTCACCTGCTGCCTACCTGTTTGCTCCAGGTCTCCTGGAGTTTACGTTTAACTGATATATGAAATATCGTCGATATATGTATGCTACCCCTCTATTTCTTGAGCGTACAGGATACTGACTCAGTAGCCTGACGCGATGGCTCCCATTTATGTTCATATCCTAAGAGCTCATGAGCACACTAACAATGATGTTAGTTGACTGGCAAATTTAGATTGCCCGCCAGTTGCCTTGGGTGTTTAAGATGTTATATTAGTATATTTAGCGTTAGAGGTTGTTTATGTTGGTAGTGCATTTTTTTTAGTGCTTGAACATCGTTTGCTTTAAGTGATATGATCTTATATAAAAAGGTAAATGTTGTATTAAGGACCAGCCCTCGGCATATTTGAAGCTTCGAGATTTACCTACAAACTATAAGCAACATTGCTTCATACTATCAATGAGGGTTCAATCGTTGGGAGCGACCGATCGTATATTCCATCGCGGCCGTATGAGCACAGTAAGCTGGAGCTTCAGTTAGCATCCCATTGTTCCGGTAACTAATTTTACATGCAAAAGTAAAGCATTGATAGTAATAATCACAGAAATCAGGGAAGTGCTCGCGCATCATGTTAAGTGTTTCGCTGTTCGTCGCGCAACGTTATATCTTTTCAGCCAAGAGTTTCCCTTCAGCAAAGTAGTCATTCTGATCAAAGCTTTGTCTTTATTGTCATACAAGAACCAATTCCTCTTTGGCTCCGCAGGCCTGCGTTATTCAGTCTCACCTCTCCGGACCAGGAATCCCACTAATACCACGATGTCGCAGCTCGCCAACCAAGCCAGATATCGCAGGCAGGCAAGAAGGCATCCCGACGTACGGAGCCACAAGGGTAATCGATTCTCGTACAGTTGTGAAAATGGCCGATAGGCTGGTCTCCGACTCGTCCTTGGTCACATCTCGAAACAAAGCAGGCATTGCATCTCCTCGTCGTCGGGAACACAAGATGATACTCTATTGGAATTTGTCAATGTCAATGCCTGAAGATTCTAAGACTGCTTTAATACAGTTTACTATACTATAATTCCGATTGAAAGACCCTTTGGCGCGGAAGGGTCGAGCCTCTCGAGGTTATCTTTCAGTGCGAGGAACCGACTCCTATCGTAGGCAGTCGCATATTTGGCGAGATTGACATTGAAGTAGGTGGTCATGAAATCCGTCATTGTCTTCTGGTATCGGTCTAACTTGGCTGGATGATGATTTCGATACACTATGCTACAGTAAATATCTTGATATTTGCTCTCTCGATACCGAATATTTCCGAAACGGGGCATATGACCTTCATGCATTATTACCATATCGACTTAAGAATTTAAACTAATTGTCGATCACATCCTTAACGCATAGACCAAAGGCTATACCGAGGACTAGAGGTAAGCTCCGTGAATATCAAGCAATCACGGACACTAATAATTCAGGCCACACCTTATTTTTCGGTACCGAAAACTCTATCCAGGACCTGATAGAGCATTCGATACGCAATTGAGGCTGCTATAACATACGCACTTCACCTTCCTAGACGCAACAAACAACGAAAAATGCCGGAAGTCGTTCGACCCGCCTTCGCCACCCACCCGAGGTCCATCCTCTCATACGGGATTCCCTTCACCACGGCTGCCGCTCTCCATGTGCGCGAGACTTTTACAGCATCCAAAGTCTACATGATTGTGTCCAGGTCACTGGCGCAAAACACAGGCTCCTTGGGAAAGCTGCGGGATGCCCTGGGACCAGAGACGGTTGTCGGAGTTCGTGTCGGTATGCGCAACCACACTCTGTTTTCAGAGATTCTGGAAGTCGTGACAGAGACACGCGAGAAAAAGGCGGATTTGCTACTGACGCTGGGTGGAGGGAGCTTAAGTGATGCAGCAAAGGTGGTGACTCTTGCAAGCTGGTATACATAACTGCGGCATTGTCGCTTCGAGAAGCTTTCGCCGAACGATCTTATATTCGAAAAGTCTCGCTATCTTCAATCAAATCCAACAAATAATACCATCTTTGTGGGCTCTTGCGTGAGACATGTGCCTCTTTCGAGAGAGAAGCCCGAGCTTATCGAGGATGCGCTGAACAGAGGCTCAACCTTGATCGAGCGGTTTTGTGCAGGGATGTAATAGGATATGGTAATATGAAGCCCGTGGAATGAGCCTTATAGATGTGCAATATGTTTGACCTGGTGATATGAATAGGGTACGCCGCTCAATGGAATTTGATGAAGGGACTTTTCAAAAACCAAGACAATGCCGAAAATAGACCTGTGGGATGAATTGCAGATCTCACAAAGCAGATTTGAAAATGCTGCGTCTCTTGTCTATCTTCAAGGTGCAATGCAGCCTCATGTTGACTTATTGGCAAACAGGCACAAGGATCACAGATCGCTTCACTGTCATAGACAGGAACTCCAGTTCTATCATCATGCGAGGAAATCTCTAGCCGTAAAAGTCCAAACGGACCACCAGAGAATGTAGGGATGGAGATCGAGATGGAGACATTTCCCAAAGTCAGCGTATAAGTCGACAAGGAACGCCGTCTTGTGTGGTTTCGCTTCAATAATCTGTTCTGTCAGCAAGACCCAACAGGGACACGTTCGATTCCAGTTGCCATGCTTTGGCTTCACTTTCAATACTACAAGCTATTAGTCCAGAGCGGAGTCGACTCTTGTACATAGATCTCCGGTACTGATTACCACATTTTGTATCACAACGAGATGCGGGGGTTTAAAATGTGACAATGGTATTGAAAAGTCTCGGATGGCGTTTTTTTGCGCCATATTCATTGCATATGCTTTGTTGGCTGTAACGCCGAAATAAGTATATCCCCCAATAAGCGAGTGCATAAAGCAAACAATCTGGGCTCATATCAACGTTATCTTATCGGGAGGATCATCTTGAGCCCAGCTCCGTCAGCTCTTCACCCTTTGTCCACTTTCTTCTGGCCTGCAACCCAATTGGTATCACCAATGAAGCCGAGTACGGAATTAACCCATCGATAAATTCTCGAATTGTTATATAAAAAACAATGGAGAACGAGGCACCCTTCACCGTGGGCACCGACGTCGACACGCAACCCCGGTCCAGACCGGCTAGCACGAAGAGTCCAGTACAAGTGCAAGCCGACGCTCAAACACCTCTGCTGCAGGGAATCAATAGTACACCAAGCTATGGGGAACCGAGGCTCCCGGATGATAGTTCAGATGCGCCCGTCACGGAACCCAGGAAATCTTGGAGAAATGCCAGTGTGAGTAAGACCGCCATTTCAGTCGGTATCCGGTGCTGACCTATACTCGACTAGATCTTTTGGCTACTACCATTTCTCCTACTGTATATGATCGCTTTCGGTGGAACAGTTGTGCCGAAAGTCAACCTGATCCTTACGCTGGTTTGCAGAGACTATTTCGCGGAGAAAGCGGCCAAAGATCCAAACTTTACATATCTTCCAGTGCTACTGGGTGATGATAACGCACAGTGCCGCATCCCCGAGGTTCATTCTCTCGTGGCGCAATTCCAATTATATCTGAATTTGATAGCAGGAATTTTGTCGGCTCTGGCTAGTCCTAAATTAGGTCAACTTTCAGACCGCTACGGCAGGACTAGGACAATCGCGCTGGGCACGCTTGGTGCTATACTGTCGGAGCTGATTATCGTTGTTGTGGCAGCAAAGCCAGAGACTGCGTCAGTAAATCTGCTCTTGCTGGGAGCAGTCTTCGACGGGCTGGGCGGCTCTTTCACCGGGGCTGTAGCTCTGGTTACTTCATATGCTTCAGATTGTTCGCGCCCAGAGACGCGCAATGTGGCTTTCGGGTATTTCCATGGGGTTTTGTTTACAGGAGTTGCGGCCGGCCCGTTTTTGGCAGCTTTGGTATTGAAACAAGGCGGCAACGTGTTCAACCTTTTCTGCGTCACATTGGCGTTCCAGGTACTCTATTGCTTGATTGTCTGGTTGATTGTCCCCGAGTCTCTGTCAGAGGAGCAGCAACAAATCGCTCGAGAAAAGCATTGGATGAGGCGTATGCACGAGGAGACTAACTGGCTTTCTCGTTGGAATCCACTAACCCTCATCGTACCTCTCTCAATCTTGGTACCGCCCGTTGGCCGACCAAGTACCTTTTTTCCAAACCGCGGAGGGGCAAGTCGAGATTTGTGGAGAAATCTTGTTCTTTTATCTACCATGGATACGGCAGCGTTCGGAGTGGCACTAGGCACCGCGCAAGTGGTCATCATCTATGCGGAATACCTGTTTGGATGGGGTAACGTCGAGTCCAGCATGTTTGTCTTCATCGTTAACATAGTTCGGGTGGTTAACCTCCTACTCATCCTTCCACTTGTGACCCGGATATTCCGCAAGCCCTCGACCGAAGAACATTCGGTTGCGGGCTCAGACATGTTAGACGTCACACTCATCCGATTATCAATTGTGCTTGATGTCATTGGCTATGTCGGCTATGCTTTATCCAGACATGGCTCCGTGTTGACATTCTCAGGGGTTATCACAGCATTGGGAGGCATGGGGCCACCCTTAATGCAAGCTTCGCTGACGAAGCACGTCCCGAAAGATCATATAGGGCAGGTTCTCGGGGCTATAGGCTTATTGCATGCCCTTTCTCGAGTTACTGCTCCTGCATTGTTTAGTCTAATATACAGTCTGACTGTAGGAAAGTTTACTCAAGCAGTATTCGTCTGCTTGACTGGTATATTCGGTATTGCATTGATCTGCAGTTTCTTTATCAAACCACACAGTAAGTGTTTTTTCTCTCCCATTTTTCTACCGTATCGCTAATCTTATTGAAAGCATATCTTGATATTGATGATGATGCCACTGATGGCAATGACGAAGGAACCCATGAAGAAGAGGAAGGGGAGGACGATGCCCTGCTACGTGCTTAATACACCTAAATGCGCTCATGGCGGGCCATGTAGCGACAAATTGAATTCCTCTCCTATGTGTCAGGGTGCAGGGTCAGGTACAGATATATTAGGAATTGACGAACAGGTTAAGCTACAGGTCAGGCTATCTACAGATACATAGGCAAGACGCAGCTCGAAGAGCTGCGATAGGATCGGCTTCAGCAGGGAGAGATATCTCTTGTGGGTCACGTGTTAGTCACGTACATAGATCGCAGGCTGGCACCGTGACACTATATGTGTCTAGCATTTTGGGTAAGAAATGCGATCTTTTGTTAGCTATCTACAAGAACGTCAAAAAATGAAGCGGTTAAATGGAACGATATCGACATAACATTTATGCAAATGCATTATACGCATAAACCAAAAGAGGAATAGTGCAATCGTACGATTTTACGGCTGGTGAGAGATCCCACTCCGCAACGCCGGGCAAAGTTTCCGACACCAAAAAATCAACATTGATCCGATCACGGCCAACCACACGACCCAATTCCCTTCCAGAACCCCGAGAGATTGAAATCTTGTCAATGCAATATATCTGAGACCTGTATGAGCCCGCTGCCCGCGCGGTTCACAGGTCCCTTCCGCTTAAAATCATGGTCACAAAACCGTCAAGCAGCACCGCCGGCACCCCGGCCGTTCCGTCTCGAAATGCCCTCCGACTTCTACGACGATTAGCACTCGCAGGCTCGACGGTGGGGAGCTTTTGTACTGTGGCGGCGATTACATATGATATGCATCGGAGAGTTCGTGTTGCAGAACGAATTGTCGAGAATAAACGGGCGCTGCAGACCTCTGCGCCGAATTACGATGCGACTTCCGCGGCGAGACGACTGGCAAGAATGATGGAGGCAGCGGAGGCGGGCGATTTCAATGGTTCTGAGTCAGTGAGAGAGGACAATCGGAAAGTGCATGATGTACAGGGTGGTTCTCAGGTTGATGCGGGGTCGCATAGCCTGGAGGTCGACTCCACTATTGAGGAAGATCTTAAGGCTTTGAAAAAGGAGGATACGTTACCGGAAACTACAGCATCCGATAAACCGGATTCTCAATGGCAATACCCGAAGCGATTACGATTCAAATTTTCGAATAAGAGCTTTGGGAGTGCCGTTGGAAAATCGAATACAGACCGAATAGGCATCAAGGAGCTCACGTCTTCAATTGAGGAGGGAACACCTGCTGCACAACAAATGCAGATACTACTGGATCATGACCGGCCAATAGAAGCTGCGCAAATATTCCTGGAAGCACATCCCGCCTCGCTGAAAGGTATATCGACAGGAAGAAAGGAACTTGCGAAGCGAGCATTCTACGTCAATTGCAGCCAGGAAAACGTGTTTATGGCAAGAAGTATCTTTGAGCGGCTGGAAGAGGTGGACCAGAACTCGGTCACACCTCGGATGTGGAACGAGCTGTTATTTGCGCTGGCGAAGAAAGGTTCCATTGAATCCACTGCATCCCTCTTTACACGGTACCGGAATAAATTCCGCCTTAATTCCGAAATGGTGGACATTGTGCTCCGGTCCTTGCTCGAGTCTCACAGGCTTGCGACTGCGAAATGGCTTATAATGCGAAACTTGCATGTGGATCGTGACTGCGGCTTGTGTGGTGCATTTCTGACAGGTCTTTGGAAGAAAACGAGGAGCATTGAGCTCATGAACACACAGCTGATGAAACTATTGACCGTCCTACCTAAAATAGACAAATCGCCCACTGACAAACTCTTTAACCCCGTGGTCAAAGCATATATCGAATTCGGCCGCTTGGGTGACGCTGAAGCTTTAGTACAGAAAATGATTACCACCTACGACCTGCCGCTCAATTGTCGGACTATGGGCTTGCTGGTGCACGGGAGGGCTCTGCGATGTGATTGGGAAGGTGTTGAATCTGGATTGCAAGAGATGCATGATCTCAAACTTACCAGACGACGATTTGACTTTGTTCGAATTTTTGACCGCATATTCCTGGAGTATTGGGTTTCGCGTTCGGGGCAGGAGATCCATGATTATGTCTTCCGTTGTATCGACAAATACGACATTGTGCCGGATCGAGTCCTCTACAAACACATCCTAGAAGCTTTTGTGGAGAAAGGAAACAAAGATATGATATCCAAAATCATCCACATAGCGCGTGAGCGGTCCTGGAAGATCAAGATCAACGAAGAAGAATTCCTCGAAACGTTACGGGCTCGACGCTTGGCACTTGAGGATAGCCCGGTAGGATTCTGGCAGATGCTCCAAGCAGCGCGGATACGGCACGGCCAGGCAGCTGCATCACAACAAATCCTTGGATATGACCAGCGATCCTTCCCGTCACCAGAAGTGAACAAACTGCCCTTCACACAACAACCAATGCCTTGGTACGAACGATCACTCAAGGAGGTCACGTCGTCCAGATCTGTCGACCAGTACCAGAGGCTTCACAAGCAAATGTCACATTTCATGCATGCAGGCAAGATGGCGGAGGCTCTGAAATGCTTCAACACTGGCAGAAAAGCGGGATTCCACATGAAGCAGATTCACCTGGAATTGGCGGCAATTGCAACCTTACTCGAGCATGGTATCACTGCCACGCGGGCCTTTATCGACAATGAACGTCAAGGCCTCCCAGATTGGTCCAATCCGAGGTTCTTCACCCAAATTATGGAGGTCCCCGATACAGCAGAGAGTGAACAAGTGAAAACGGCAATTTTCCGATTTTACCAGCTTTGTTTGATCAACAAGAAAATGAATCTGAAGCACCATATCACAGTAGCTATTGGCCGGCGACTGATCGTTTTGGGAAAGCCAGACATTGCTCTTGATCTCCTCACAGCAGTCTACATGTCACGGTACCGAGGTTTCGCGAAATTTGACGGTGTATGTATGAAGTTGTTCGTGCGCGTCTTTGCGGATCTAGGGAGCCTTGCGGGTATCCGATGGGGAATTTTGAGCGGTCTTGCGCGGCGTGGCCCGGTTACTTGGGACTTGGTAGTCGAAATTCGTCGGGTACTGGGTGTTTTGCATCGGGAATTCAGCGCTTCTCCGTCGCCAGCGAACACTGAGCGATTGGAGTATTTGGATCATATTGCCGATCTGCTTGAACAGAGAAGCGAGAAGAACACTAACAAGTCGGAACCTGAGATCAACCGCGAGGAGTCAACACCCAGACAAGACAGACCGGAGCAACTTTTTGATGAGGCGACTCTCTATAGAGAGGAAAATATCCATGATGTTCTCGAGGGATGGGATGAGAAGTACGAATTGGAGTCTGTTCTGCTGTCCATGGACAAGTCTGGCGGTGATGAAAAGGGGTTGAATGATCTGGAACAGAAGATGTCTGCATTGTAATGGGAGAACGACTCGTTATCCCTTTTATTTATGCTACTATTCGACGTGTATATAATCATGAAATTGTACTTTTAGTGTACTATATAGGTCAGGTGACCAACCCAAAAAGGAAGATCATACAATATGTCAGTTCCTGAATGCCAAGACCGCCTTTTCACATGTCACGCCACTTAAAAAAAGTTCCCATATTACCCCCTTAATCCAACCCGGCATCGCCAATTATCTCATGTCCTTTTTTTTAACCAATTCCCACGAGATTATGCTTTAGTATCTGTCATTCGCTCACCGATTTCGTTGACTGTTGACCGTCTATCCTCCGCACTCCATTATGACCTCCGTGGTCTCGAACGGCCACGCAACTCCTTCGAAGCCCACCATCAGCCACGCTGAACAACGCAGAGTCATCCACCATGATGCAGATGTTTTAATCGTGGGCGGTGGAATCCTCGGCTGTGCTCTAGCAGTAGCTCTAGGCCGCCAAGGACGCAGCGTCCTCCTCCTCGAAGCCTCCCTAAAGGAACCAGATCGCATCGTGGGCGAACTCCTCCAACCCGGCGGCGTAAACGCCCTCGAACAACTAGGTCTACGAGACTGTCTCGACGACATCGATGCGATCCGCGTGGAGGGATACTACGTGACATACTTCGGAAAACCAGTGACCATCCCGTATCCCCGACAATCGCCCACCGACCCGCTCCCGGAGGGCCGCTCATTCCACCATGGTCGGTTCGTGATGAAACTGCGTGAAGCGGCGAGGACGTGTCCAAATGTGACGATTGTTGAGACCAAGGTGACGGAGTTGATTACTTGCTCGCACACCAAGCAGGTTCTGGGTGTGGAGTGTGTGAATAGGGACCAGAGGCAGGATTGCTACTTCGCGCATCTTACTGTTGTTGCGGATGGATATGCGTCGAAGTTCCGGAAGCAATACCATGCACACACACCACGGGTGAAGTCGCGGTTCTGGGGACTGGAGTTGATTGATGCGAAGTTGCCGATGCCGCATTTTGGACATGTGTTGCTTAGCGATAAACCGCCTATTCTGGTTTATCAAATTGGATCGAGGGAGACGCGGATTCTCATTGATGTTCCTGAGAACTTGCCGTCTGCATCGGTGAAAAATGGGGGTGTTAAGAGTCATATGCGCAATGTTGTTCTGCCGTCGTTGCCCGAGGGTATCCGGCCGTCGTTTCTGGCTGCGCTGGAACAGGGTACGCTTCGGTCGATGCCTAATTCTTTTCTGCCGGCGTCGACGAACAAGACACATGGTTTGATGATTCTGGGAGATGCGTTGAATATGCGCCATCCCTTGACGGGTGGTGGGATGACGGTTGCTTTCAACGATGTGCTATTTATCCGCGATCTGCTTAGCCCGGAGAAGGTCCCTAGTCTATCCGACACCAAGAAAGTCCTCAAGCAGTTGTCGACCTTTCACTGGCAACGCAAGCAGGCATCTTCCGTTATTAATATCCTCGCTCAAGCTCTTTACTCTCTTTTCGCCGCGAACGGTACGTCCTGTGGTCCCTCATATCAATCAAAAGTACTAACATTGAATAGACGAAAACCTCCGCGCCCTCCAACGCGGTTGCTTCAGCTACTTCCAACTCGGCCGCGTCCAAGGCCCCGTCGGCCTCCTAGGCGGTCTCATCCAGCGCCCCCTCGTTCTCTTCTGGCACTTTTTCTCCGTAGCCTTTCTCTCGTTATGGATTATTATCCGCGACGCGCCGCTGTGGAAGTTGCCGCTTGCGCTGATTCAGTGCGTGCTGGTGTTTTGGACGGCTTGTGTGGTTATTTTCCCGTATATGCTTATTGAGGCGTTTTATTAGTGTCATGGGTTGGTTTGGGAAGGGGTTTATGTGGTGTATTACTATTACATATTGTCCTTTTTTTTTTCTTCTTGCATGGTTGTTTGTTTAATTACTAGTACCTAATTTTATTATACATGATAGATGTACATAATTAAGTGTCAGTGTCTTTGATGTCAACGCCATCGTTCTCTTGTCTATACAACCTGCTGGTGCATGCCCCTAGATCTGACGAAACCAACCAACCACCTCACAAACTTCTCCGTGATATAAAACGGCGGAAAACGCCCATCACGACCATCACCACACTTCCCACTCTCAACTATCTCCTCGAATGTTTCTGCAATACTCTCTAGGATGCTGAGATCCTGTTCAACCGTCCTCGCGGAGGGTGCGGTGACTATGTACTGGAAGAGAGTGATTATGGAGGTCAAAAGAGATTGTGCGTGGATCCTGTTCCATAATAAGGTTTCGTCAGTGGTTTATAAATAGGAAATGGGAAGGGAGGGGAGGACTACCAGAAATTCCCAGGCATAATAAAATGCCTCGTCCGCACCATGAACAACAACGTCGAACGCGCCGCCTGATGACACAAATTCATACTCGAAGACAACAATGACGACTGTATCACTGCATTAGCAGTGCTGGAAGTACTAGCATGAATCCTCCCCAAACAAAACCAATATTCCAGATGAATATTGTACCCCCTAAGACTCATATCATGCAGCAAAATATCGGGCACATCCCGTGCCATCCCAGACAAAAAGCTAACCAGCGGCAAAGAAACCGGAAAAGCAGCCTTGAAGTCATTGAGTTCCTGGTCTAGTTCGCGGATATGTTGTAGTCTTCTTGCCTGTGTTTCTGAGGATTGCGCTTGTGTTGGAGCGTTGTTTGAATATAACAAGTTATAAATTTTTGATTTAATAAGCGACAGTCGAAGATCAGACGGAAAGAGCAACTCGCTTGGCGAAAGCGGTTTCGAGAGAAGCCGGTGAGTTGAAGATTCGGAGATGTAAGTATCTGGTAGGGAGAGTGTGCAATCGCTATCATGTACTAAAGGGGGCTGGAATTGTCGGAGGGAGAGGTCTTTGTCGATAAAGTAGATTAGCCAGAAGAGGGCTCTTACGTGTTGGTTTGTGGTGTCGTGGTTTGCGCGTAGGGTGTAGAGGATGCGGACGGACATGGAGAGGAGGAGTTCGGCTAGTTGGGGTTGGCCGGTGGGGAAAATGTAGAGGGCCTGTTGTTGTCAGACCATGGTTTCTGATTGTTGGGGAGGACACGCACCAGTAGAACTAAAGACTCCAACGTTCTTAGATTCTCGCTGTCCATCATCAACTGTGGTAACAAGCCTAACGCGGCTTGTACATACGCATCAGGCTCTGCATCTGCGAATTCAGGCTCATGTCTATGTATTCTTCCAAGAAGCGCCGTCAACGTAACAGGACAGGCTAGATCTGCTGCCTTTACTTTATCCCAAGGTGTATTCGGGTCAATATCCGAGGATAATGTCTCCGCCTGAACAACAGGGAAAACGGAATAAAGCCCCGTTCTCGAAAAATAATCAATCGCGCATTGAACTAGTTCCTGCGGAGGCCATTTCGGGATAACGGCTCTTGACTGGTGCACTGGATATCGTGACTTGAATGAATAACATGCCTGATCTAAAAAGTCATCAATGTTGAAAGTATGTCCCATCCGGTGAACGATGGAAGTGAATGATGGATCGCAATATGATAAATGCTTCCGGAAGGCTTCTTTTGCTGCGTCGATGCCGTATGAGTCGAGTATATCTGTCTGTGCTGCTGGCCATGTCGCAAAACTTGGGCTTGGAGTTAAAGACGGAGTCTGACTCTGATGGCGCGCTCGCTCTGCTCTTAATGCTTCCTGTAGCTGCTGTACTGTAGCCTTGGCTTCGGCAAGTTCTCTATGAGCGATTAGCCCGAGTTCCATGTCTCCAGGGATATATCCAACTCTCACCTACGGACATCTTTCCGCTGTCCAACTCGAGGTGTGAAAACACACGAGACACCCGCAAGTCTACATGTCTCGCATGCTGGTTTTTCGCCGTCGCAGCGGATCTATCACCGCTATTAGTCAATACAAATAAATCGTTTAGCTATTCTGATCTGTGACGTACCCTTCGATACCGACATAAATCGCACGCCGTCCGCGCTCTACCCCGATGGGAACCAGCAGCAGAAGTCTCGTCCATAAAGCGGATCATTTCAACTGCCACTGAATTAAGAGTAAAAGGCAATGTCGTGGGGATATATCAACCGGCCATGCATTACTCCGCAGTAAGCTCGCTGGAGGTCGATTTCCGGAGAAACGGTCATAGCCAGCCCAATCTAACTTTATCTTTGACGGATAAATTGGCTCAGCCGTTCAGTACCATGGCGATGATTTTTGATCTTGTTCAAGAGATTGAGTCTATTCTGGGTAAAACAAATTACGCAAGAAGCTTTAGGGCACAGCGCCGTTATGTGGATGTGGCCACGCGTAAACGTGAGGCGCATGTTATTGGCCAGTGCCCTTTTTGGTCACGGGACTTCCTGAGATCGAGCTTGAGATTCAACATTTCTGATGAGATTGAGATCTCAAAAATTATCTATTTGAGATGTGCAAATTTTTTGATGAGATTTTGGCAAAGCGTCGCAGCTCATTCTATCTCATTGCATCTCAAACGGTTAACCCATCAAGTTGAACTACGCTCTACTTCATACTAAATAAACCATTTGGAAGCATCGATGAAAGGAGAAAGTCAATTCCATTACATGCATAATTGCAAGTTCATCCATCCCGTCCCATCTCATTCAGTTTTGTGCATCATGCCAATGACCCGACTCCAGAGGTCCTAAACACATGAAGGAAACAAAAATACACGCGAAGAGAAAATAGGAAAGTGGAATACACCGAAGGGTTCTATACATAACCACAACGTTCAGGTTGCGAGCGACGATGTATGTAACCGGCAGAAGGCAGTCCAGTCCCAGACCAAGAAGTGAAAAGAACAGATGCAATAAAATGGATTTTCCGATTCCAGTGCAAGCGAAACAAACCTCGGGAACGACACGAAACGGAACATGATGCCTAGAAGATGCCAAAAAATAAATGTGTGATGAAAAAGGTTGGCCGTATGAGAGAAAAAGATACAGGAGAAGCAGAAGCGAAGCAGAAACGAAGGAAAAAAAAAAAAAAAAAAAAAAAAAAAAAAAAAAAAAAAAACACCGTCACTTCATCTGGTATCTAAGATAAGCAGCCGGAAGAAAAACGTAAAGACACTCAAAACAGACAGGTATCCTGACAACAGTTCGCTAGGGAATGGGGATATATGGTTATTGATTTGTGCAAATAAACGCCGATATGTATGGATGCCGTTCAAATGAAACATGTAAAAAAATGTCACGGGATCAACTGCCTTCAATGCCGGATTATTTCATCTCAATTCTCCTTTTCACTGCTTGTTGTGGTTGTTGTGTTGTTGGGCTTGGCCCCGATATTAATCGAAATCTTCTTCGGTGGTGCGCTGACGCTGTTGGTACTTTGTGTGTTTCCCTTTTCTATGCTCCTCTTTCGTCGTAAGAACCCGGCGCTTCCGGAGTTACTGCTCGTCGAACTTCGTCGTTTGGGCCCGCCAGAGGTTAACTTGACTAGTTCGTCTTCGTCTTCCTCTTCACGGCGTCGCTTTTCTGATAATCGTTCCGGGGGAGGTTGGGATGGTGGTGTTGTGTGTCTCAGGTTAGGATCTTGTGTAGCGCAAATATTTTGCTTCACATGTTTTTCTTCTTGTTTCTGGGATTGAGTCGGATCCATTTGTGTATCCATGACATCTTCGTCATCGTCATCGGGGTAGTCAACTAATGGTTTGGCCGCTGGAAGAGGTGGAAGAGCAGGCCTGTCCTGCGCAGTATCGGGGTTGGTTTGTTGCCACTGTAGCTGATTAGCATACGGCGAAACGTATAACTTCAAGAGGGTACTCACATCCTCCTCATCGTCTGAGGTATTAAAGTAAGCTTCCTCTGCAGCATCCATCTCTCCAACCCCTGACCATCGCTGTCCATTGGGTTGAGTTTTTGGCGCCTGCGATTCCTCGCCCCGCGCAGATAGTGTGAACTCAGCATCAGCCCCGTATCCCTGCATCTGTTCGTAACGGTTGACCAAATTGATGAATGTATCGACGTAAACGATGCTCAAGAGTTTTTCGCGGTATTTCTCAACTACATGCACAATCAACGTTTTAATATTTTCCCTTCGAATGCATTCGAATAGTTCGAGACATGCTGAGTTTAGGAGATTATCGCGGGGCATCGTTTCACGGACAATGTCGAGAATGAGGCCGAATGTGTTGTGGCGTGTCAGGATTGCTTGGTAAAACGTGTCGTGGAGGCCAATTAAGCCGCGGAAGAATTTCACGGCAGCTATGCATAGTTAGATATGTGTCATTGAAGACCGGAACTTGTGCACTCACCCAGTTTGAGATGTTTCTGGGGCACAGTGAGCAACTGTGCTATCCGTGGTGCAATGGCTTCAGTTTGGAGAACGTGGCGATTTCTGAACATGTCCTGGCGAATGAAGAACCCAAGGATATCAACAAGATGAGCGTATAATGCCACCTCGTGGAACGTGAGGTCGTGAACTAGACAATTTATTAGCTCTCTTCAAATTGGCATCCACCAGTATAGAACATACAATTAGTACGATGCTCGAGATTGCCCATCGGCATAAACAACTTCTTAGCCGATTCATCAAAGTGGTGTTGTACAAACGCATCGGATAGGATGTTGTTGGGACGGAGTTTGGCAAAGTAATCGGGCCCAGCCCGACCCATCGCATCCTGCATGGTGACTTGAGGATCAAGCAGAACCTTGATGGCATCTGCCAGTTGGTTTTTAACGCCGAGATCGGACTCCATATGCAGCAGGTCAATCAGGGTATCCGTAAGAGGTGTCTTCTTTTCGTTGACGGCCTTAAGCATATAGCCACGCATCAGGATAGGGTCATGGTCGAGCAGCGCCACCAGAATGTCGATACCGGTCGTTCTCACTGGCGGTCGTGGGTGTTTCACGGCAAAGGCGATTACTGCGAAAAGGCCATGGCCGATAAAGTTGGCATAGAGACTTGCGCGACCTTGAGGCTGCAGATTCTTTGCGATGACCGCACATTGGTGGAGAAATTGCACCGCGTCTTCTTTTCGTCTCATGTCCGGGTTCCTGGGGTCGAAGACTGAGAACAGCTCTTTTAAGAATGCCGCGTTCGACTGAATATGGTTCACGATTTCGACCTGGTTAAAGAAAATCAACGAATTGAGGACGGAGAAGGTCGGGTCGTCTAGAATGCGTGCTAAAACCACGTCCTTCAAGTATTGTAGGCGCCATGTACAACGAATCTTCTTCCGGATGATAGGGTCCTTGATCGGAACGACTTCCTTGAAGCGGGATTCATCTGCAAGGTATTGTCGGTGGTTTGCTTTATGGGTAGGGAATTCGGGGTCGTCTGTAGAGCCGTCAGTACCAATCTTGTATTACACATGACCGACACGCACATTCTAGAGCTCCAACCACTCCGAGGATCAGAGGATCGGCGACGACATTTTCGATGATGGTGTTATCGTTAAGAAGGATGACGGACTTCATTATGCTGCAAAGGCGATGTAAATCGGGGAGACTTTCGAGGTCTTCTGCGACAGAAACGAGAGGAATCAATTTGGTAATGTAGTCATCGCGGATGACAATCTTGGATAGCGTATCTCGACCGGGCTGCGACATGCTAGCGACTCTCATAATGTGTTCAATTTCCGGTAGGTTCCCGAGCTCCGGTGCGGGCAGCATGACCTGGTGGTAGCTATCAAGGTCTTCTGATAAGTCATCTGACAGATACGCATTAGCCAAGCATCGCGCAACGAGCAAAAGTTGCAAGTCCTACCTGTTGTTGCCACACCCATGTGGTGCTGGACACTGTGGACGAAATCCCTTGACGGTCTGTCAGCCAACCAAACCACTCCCATTCCAGCCGAATTGGTCGTTACCAGATAACTGCGCAACCCTCAGCTTCTTGGAAGCTCAGCGCCATATCCGTCCCAGTGGGCTCCGTCCATACGATTAATGTCTCTGTAGTCGCACAACCATCAGCAACCCATCGAGTGAACCACGCCATCAAGGATAAAGCACACACCTTGCTGCTTCTGGTACCCATCATCTCTGTTTATTTTCGTCTCCAAGAGCACCCGACCAGGCTCGTCTTCAGACTCGACAAATATTCGCGGTTCATCCTGCAAAATTTTTCAAAAGGCCTGCGTTAGCGACTGACCATCTTCCCCAGAGAAAAAACAAGCGCGATCATGCGCGACCGTCCGGGCAAGCGATTCTTACTTCCAAGAACTGGCCGGTGCAAAACCCCGTTCCCCGATCAAACCAGTCATTATCCCTGAGTTCGTAGACCTTGACGCGCTTGCGAACGCTGGGCGGTTGCGGCTCCAGCGCCATGATCGGGTAGAGTAGGAAAAGGAGATGTGGCGGTGTCTCGTCACTCCGGGCTCGATATGAGTGTACCGGCGCGAGAGGAGAATGAGCGAGTGAGCGAGTGGGAGGAGGGAGAGTGACGAGATCGGAGAGAGCGAGAGCGGTCGCGGGCGGTCGCGGGCGGTCGCGAGGGGGTCACGAGAGACGCGATGATAAGCGGTGGATAAAGGAATTGAATGGTGCGATAGAGAGGAGATGGCGGAGGGTGGAAAATCGATGTTGGTGGATGGAGTTGGGGGTGGAAGTCGGGCGATGGGCGGTGGTGGTGGACGATGATGAAAGATGTTTGGAAGGGTTTGACTGCGATGGAGATCAGACACCAGCCAGACTTTCTCAGACTGAGGGCGGGCCACCAGTCGGCCTCGGCAAGAATATTCAGAAAAAACCAAGATAAATTAAGAATTAAGTGAAAGCTGTGAGAACACAATAATAACATTAACAATAGAAGATTAAAGAATATCACACGCGAGCACAGAATGGGAATCACCCGGAGAATCACCCGACCGTTACTCGCACAGGGAGAGCACTGTTATTGTTGTGTATCTTACGCTGGGCAGCTTCTCGAAGCCTTCCGACAATGCACTCCGCGATCTACAAGCGCAAAGTCAAGTTTCAGGTGATATCTTAACCTACTCCGGAGTACTATCTTTAACTGGCCTTACCGGGGATTCCGTTAAGGGGAACACTAAAAGGGGGCAACGGATATCCCGAGGCCCGGGCGGTTTATAATTATGGTTATGGTTAAGCTGCCATTGTTTGGTCCGGGCTCTAGTACTTGATAACATTGATAAAGAACGCCTCTTAACTATATGCCCTCATCCATTCTCGCCCTTCTCGCCCTTTTCTCCATTCTCCCCACTCGCACCCATCCATTCCCATCCATACCGGTGTACCCCGTACATAATATGTATGACTTGTACAATTATCGTACTAGAGAGATTCCAGAAGCAAGATGAAGTCATTCCGATCTCGCATCTAGTCATGTGACGTGTACCCAAGCAAGCCTCTTTTATCAACATTGACCAGATCAGGGAGACTGCAGACTTGAACGAATCCTGGCGAGTCCAGTAAACGGTGATTGTCAATGCAGAAGCGCAAAGCGGCTCTTCGCATGCCTCTTGTCCTGTCCGTGCTTGTCTTGTCACCTTATTTGCAAGGCAGAAATATCTGCAAGGCATGATTGGCTATCGGCCATTCCCGCCAGCTGAACAAAACTAAATCTTATGTGATTGGCCATTATATTGACATGTCTCCGTTATTGGTCCTAGTGGCCCCACTTAGGCTCGGCTTCTTATCGATGACGGAGCGTCTCCCGATGAGGAAAAGTGTGGATTGGATCGAGATTTCTCCTCTTTTGATTTTTCCTTCAACCAGCCATTGGCTTTTGGGCAGTTGGAGTTAGCTATTTATTTGGCATTCGTACCCCTCTGCTTGGTCCCCCCCCAGCGCGGTCGTCTTGAACAGCCTTGCACCTGGAGTTTGCTTATCCGCAGACTGTGCGAGTCATACCGAACACCAGGATCGCAGACACAAGGATAGTACAACGGGCGTACAATGGCCAATCCCAAAGACCAGGTCACTGTTCAGACTGCTTCCAACGAACCCGACACTACCCTGTCGCCGCGCCTTGCACCGAAACAAAATGCCTCGGTGGTTGTCACCGCGGCGGAGGGAGAACCAGAAGCGTCTGGATCCGGGTCTGGAGGTGGAGGGGAAGGAGGACTACCGGCAGCAGGGGACCAGGTAGATGAGCAGAAGAAGGGGTTTTTGGCATACTTTAAGACAAAGGAGTTTTATATCACTTTGGTGCTGGGGTAAGATTCCGGAGTCAGGTTCTGATCGGGCTTGAAGCGCATACTAATGACGGGATAGACAAATTTTGGCAATCACCAACACATCAACAAGTACATTCACGACACTATTGAACCTCGAAGGGACATCTATCCCTGCCTTCCAAACGTTCTTCAACTACGTCCTCTTAACCCTCATCTTCACCCCATACACAATATACCGCTACGGTTTCAAGCGCTGGCTCCGCATCGTGTGGTATGATGGATGGAAATGTATTTACCCTCCCCATACACCCACACCTCTTCTCCATAATCCGTCCTAACTAAAAGTAAAAGATATAATCCTCGCCTTCTGCGACGTCGAAGGCAACTACTTCATCGTCCTCGCCTACCAATACACAACCATGATGAGCGCCTCGCTTATCAACTTCTGGGCGATCGCCGTCGTCGTCACCGTCTCCTTCCTTTTCCTCCGCGTCCGCTACCATATCACCCAAATCGCGGGTATCCTGATCTGCATCGGCGGCATGGGCGTGCTCATCGCTTCGGACCATATCACTGGCGGCGATGGGGCGGCTTCGGACGAATTAAAGGGTGATTTATTTGCGCTGTTGGGCGCAACATTCTACGGTCTCACGAATACCTTCGAAGAATACTTCGTCAGCAAACGCCCCATGTACGAAGTCCTGGGCCAAATGTCCCTCTACGCTCTAATAATCAACGGTACCCAAGCCGGCATCTTTGACCGCGACTCCTTCCGCACCGCGCACTGGAACAGTAAAGTCGGTGGTTATCTCACGGGTTACACCCTCTGCCTTACCCTATTCTACTGTCTGGCGCCGTTACTCTTCCGCCTTGCCTCCGCGGCATTCTTCAACATCTCTATGCTCACCATGAACTTCTGGAGTGTTTGTATTGGGATCAAGGTGTTTCATTATACAGTGCATTGGATGTATCCGATTGCGTTTGTGTTGATTATTGTGGGCCAGTTGATTTATTTCCTTGGAAGGCGGGTGTTGGCGGAGGCGAGAAAGCCGTGGCTCGGGAAGGATCAGGAACGCGGTGTTGATGGGTTGTTTACGGCGAGGAGGAAGATTGGTGTAAGTGTTGAGAGGGGTGTTGTTGCTGGTTCTGGTTCTGGGCCTGGTTCTACTGGTGAGGACCCGGGTCAGGGCCGAGATGAAGGCGAGAGGAGGGACCCTAGTATCGTTTGATATCCAGATATACCGCATGTACGACGTTTATTCAATGGATTTAATACCATATGCCCAAGGATCAGTCACTGACCATGTATATCCAGAATACAATAAGTAGATAATGAGGGCAGACACCCATGCAGTCGCAACGGCCAATGTCAATGGCAAACAGCCCACCCCACCCCTTTTTTTATGTGTAAGAGCCCCTGCCTTTGCCAAAACCGAGGAACAATAAACAATAAACTTGAACCGAGAGCATAAAAGAGAGAAGACAAATCCTTTTTACCCAGTCCCAGAACTAAATCTAAACAGAGAAGGCATACCTCACGCAACCAGACCCGAACAAAACACCGAAAACTCACACCCAAAATCCCGAGAGACAAGACACCACTCACAGACAGATACAGGCTGCGGAGACAGACCAAGAAACAATCCAAGATCCAAAATAGACAACAGATACAAAAGACCATGCACATAACACAAAATAAACAAGGGAATACCGACTCCAGAACCAACAGGCCAAATAAAACCACGTTCCCATCGTCAGTAAACCAACCATGTACGAGAATGAAATAGACAAAAACGCAATTAACCCGTTTCTCCACATATGGATCAGACCCGAAAGATAAAAGATCCATTCATCATCTTGGTCGTATATGTACCATGCTCGTTTTTGGTATGTCAAGCATAAAAAATAAAATGAAAATCGTCAAGTTAAACCTTTTTCTCACAACGCCACATTGCGGAACGAACCTCATGTTGGAATGAATGAATGCTGAAAACGTGAAAGATCAATGTTTAACCCCAAACAGGGGCTTGAACGCCGAGGCCGCTCTTGGATCCCCACACTCCGCTGCTGTTGCCCCAGCCAACTGGGGCACCGGTGGCAGAAGCGGGAGGGATGCCAGCCGAGTGATCATTGCCAGCATCACCGGCTGTGAAGCTGAAGCCCAGCGGGGAGGGTAGCGGTGTGGTGGAGCGCTTGGTCAAGCCTGGGTTAGAGACAGAGCTGGTAGTGGGGATCGGCCGCGAACCGATGGGACCCACTGAGCCAATGGGACCAGCGGTGGACTTGGAAGTGGCTGTACGCGACGGTGAGTCGGCTCCACCGGGCGACGAGGTGGATGTGACCGGCTGCTCTGCGGGATTACCAAAGACGGGGTTGATGCCGGAGCTGGGGGACGAGGTGCTATTCGCGCGGTTCGGGGACTGCAGCGCGGACGCAGCGGTGGGAGTGTGCACAACTCCGTCGGCGCTGGCTGGGCCCGGGGTATGGGCATGGGACAAACCGAAGGGATCCACACCGCGGGGGGAAGGGCCTCTCACGCCGGTGGCCGAGGAAGGAGTTCCGGTACCGCCCTGGCTATCAGGTCGCGAAGCGTCATCAGCGTAACCGCCCGCAGGAAAGAAAGCGGGACTATCATTGCCGTACAGGGCTCGGTGTTGGCGAGTAAGTAGATCTCGACGGCTTTCTTCACTCATCGCGGCGGGACTCAGAGAACGCTCGGGCTTGTTGTTGCCAGACATTTCGGAAAGCAGGCCTTTGGAAGACGAAATAAGAATTAAAACCATGTTCAAGAAGTGAGAGAGAGAGAACAAAAGCAGAGAACCAGCCAAAAATGCAAGAGGTGATGTCGAGTCACACAATGTATTATACAAAGCAGTCGAATACACAAGATGCACGGGAAAATCGCGGAGAATATCAAAAAAGAACGGAGTGAAAACAATGGTCATGACGAAGAAAAAGCGCTACCACGTACTTCGGTTGTACTGCTGCTCCTGGTGGTAATTGCGGAGTTCCCTTTCACGCTGTGCCGCCATCCGACGCTTTGCCTGCATCATCTGCTCTACTTCATTGGGACGGTTTTGGAATCGTTGAGGCGTGTAGAAGCCTTGGTTGTTGGGGGGATGGGGGCGGGCGCCATCGAACTCGCTGATAGAATGGTGACGGGAGGCCATGGCGCTGGCAACACGAGTATCTATAAAGTTTAGAATATGTGCCAGGTTGGATATATCAACCGGGACAGAAGAGGCATACCGTAGTCGGCGTAAGGACGACCCATCATGAGGGGCATGGAGTCCCTCCGCGGAGCATTCCACAGCTTGCCGCTCTTGACCAGGTTGTCAACCGCCCGATCGACCTCTGTGAAGAGGACATGTTAGCCGATATGTCCGATAATAACCCCAGTATAGCCGAAGAATCAAGCCAGCATCACGACGTATGTCTTTCGAGACCCAAGAAACATTTCACATGATCGGATTTCCAGACCGGGACAATCCACCGGGTATCTATGCAGGAAAGAATCGGGACGAGCTTATGCATACCATCAAACTGGGACGAGAAAGCCGGCATTTCCTCACGCTGGGAGATCGAGCTGGATCCTAACGAGCGAAACGAGCATGAGTTTCTGACCGTATATAATTCGACCATAATACCGGACCTACCTGACCGAGATGGAGGAACCGGCTGTTCCCAAGAAACTTGGCGCGCGGCGGGGGCCTGCCAACCCTGAGGCTCGTAGTACGACATGGCGATCGTTCACGGAGGGAAAAGGAGGGCTGAGGATTTGGAGTAAGAATAAAAAGATTCGGAGTGGCGAAGGGAAATCCTGAGAGGAAAAGTAAATACAGCGTCAGTCAGCGTGGCCAGCGTGGAACGGAGTCGGAGACGATAAGCAGCGATAACCGAAAGGAGAAATGGACACGACAGAAAAGCAATGATATTCAGAAAGGCATGATAAGTTAAATAATGAGATAGAAAAGGCAGAGAAGAAAGTGCGGGAGAGAAGTGAGAGGCGATGGCGACGAGCGATGACGATTTATTGGGGGGAGGGGAGGGTGAAATATGCCGAATTGTGCGCACCGCAGCAGTCATGAGCTCTTTTCTCTTATAAAATTCCCTGCTAAGAGGCATCTGCACTGCAACCACCGTCATAGTGGCCGAGGGTATCATGTCATTGGCGCCAAACGCACGGCCGTCGAGATGACCGGGATTGCCGGAGATGCAGAGAGCAACAATTGATATTGAAAAGAAAAGAGTGAAAGACCTACCAAAGAGCGACGCCTATTATCTACCACGAGTCAACGAGGCAGATTATGTATGGAATTGGAAAAGGATTGACCGGACCAAATCACCCACAGTCAATCCAGAATCCCAAAAAAGAAGAGGAGGAAGAGAGGAGGGAGGAAAGGAAAAAAGGTGGAGGAGAGGAGAAAAGGAAGCAGAACAGCAACCTTGGAGGAGAAGAGAAGAAAAAGAAAATTAAGAGGGGGGAAAGAAAGTCGTAATAATAATAGTAACCAAATGATACAGTAATACGAATTTAATCCCCAGTAATTAATGATACACCGGGAAATGAATCAATTCTCTGAGCGAAGAAGAGGGTAAAAAAAAAAAGACACACAACCGAGTGGAGCGAAAAAGTGGGAGACACAAAAAAGACACAGGGAAACACTCGGAATCGGACTACCGTGCGCTACGGATTCTTCCGTGGCAGTAGGAGATGTGGGTTACTATCAATTGACCTTACCTTCGAAAAGAAATATTTAAAGAGTATTATAGTCTAATCAATTGTTACATTCAGATCGAGAACCGATACCACGGATGCAATGTTTATATGTCTATGTCTCCGGACTACACTCTATTTGTACTCCCAATGCCCCTTCTGGTACAGAGTACGGTAACCAGACTCAATCTGTCACTGATAATAATGACCACTATGACTGATAGTATCATATTGATATATACGAGGCTTTAAGAGGACTGCCATAATATATCCCTCGGTGCTCAGGAGGTGGGGTCGGTCCTCCGGCGATATGACAAAATTAAAAGAGAGTACGGAGTAGTACTATGTAGGAATGCCGCTGACAGGACGACAAGACAAGCACGCGGATAGACCGATTAAGGTCCTCACTGGATACCATTCCTGCACTCCATCAAGACCCCTGTTCAGACAGGAACAAGTTCTGTCCTGTACAGACCACCTGCAGTAGTGGATGTCCTAGGCATGTATGTACACCGGTAGTCCATACAAGTACTTCGTACTCCGTAGATAGTAACAGAGATAGCCCATACGGTCGACACAGGCAGTCATAGAAGAGTGATAGAAGCAGTATGGAACAAGATATGCTTCTTCATAGACATCTACCCCGGACAATGCATCTCTCAAATCCAAGTATCCCCCGGTCTCTATCGTGATTCTTCATATTGACCCCAACTTCTTTCAGTACATATGGCCCTGTATAAGAGATAAAATAGATCTCAATTAACTCCTATCCCGTTAAATAGTTCCTATCTTCGCCCTCGCTCAGTTCTTTCCTTACTGAATCTGGTTCCTGGACAGGTCGGCATACATTCCCTGTATCCGAATCATTCAGGTTTCGGCTTCCTTTACTTTTCTTATTTATCCTTTTGGATTCTCTAATTTTCTTCCCCTCTCTAGATTGTTTTACTGTCACTCAATTCTCATTTAAAATTAATTAAAGACTGACCACTGATCGTGCAGACTAGCATTAAATAAACGCGAACGTGGGCAACGGCGGATCGACCGCAGAGCGCATCCCCCGAACTCCAATCACCCTTTTCCTCTCCTCTTTCTTCACCTCTTCGCCTTTTCGCGCTGTGATCTGTTACTACTTCTCCCCAACGACATTCCAGACCATATTTTCAGCTAAATTCCTTTTTCTTCCCTCCCTATTATCTCACCGTACCAAATACCTTTCCTTCCCCCCAGCAGCGGGCGGCGAAATCCCCCATCTGTTGCTTTGGTTTCTCCGACGCAACTCCCCTACTGCTGCTGCTGCACCGACTTACTATAATCGACGACTTCCTCATTTTCCTCCTCTCCGTCCTCTCTCCCTCTGTTCTGACGTCTCCTTGACCCATCTCGGTGTTTTCATATTTTCCTTCCATTCCTAAATATCTGTCTATCCTATATCGACCCCGATTTTATTGTTCTCTCGCCACCAATCCTCCCATATTCTGTCTCTTCCATCCGATCCTGCTTTGTGGGTGGTTCTGTTCGGCACACCAAACGTCTCCATATCCGATCACAAACGCGCTCTCTAGAGATCTCTTTCTATCTATTTTCCTCCCTCTCTCACTATTCGCCTTTTTAACCCCACATTTTCGACGTTTCTTTTTTGGGAGACCAACGTTGTGAAAACGACGTTGGATCTGGTTTCGCTATATGCTGGCAGACAACAACACCCATGGAAACGCCAATTCGCCTGCCCTTCCTGGTGACCACTCACCAATAACCTCCGCAAAACCTTCCTCTTCCTCCCCCATGGCGCCCTCGGACGCTGCTCACACGGCATCGGAGGCTCCTGTTCGCCCGCCATTGACCTCGCATCAGTCCAATTCCCTTCCCTCCACGCCCTACCAGCATGCGCGCAACCTCTCCTTCCACTCCCGTTCGCCCTCTCCTCGTCATGGCAATACCTCTCCCCGTTCAACGCACTCCGAAACTACCCATCTCCCTCCTTCGTTACGAAAACCCTTCGCTGGTTGCAAATATGAAACCGCCATGGCGTTCTTCCGGAGACGCATGCCCTATACCATCGGGACTGATCTCTTGCCGGAAGAAAAGGAAGGTCTCAAGGAGAAGCTCGAACCTGAAGAAGAGCAGCGGATCACCAAAGACGTAATGGATGTTTACGATCGGTTACTTCCCTCCGCGGAAAGCGACGACCGACGCCGTCAACTCGTTCGCAAACTCGAAAAACTCTTCAATGATCAGTGGCCAGGCAACAACATCAAAGTTAATGTCTTTGGTTCGTCGGGGAATAAACTCTGTTCCAGTGACTCGGACGGTAGGTTTTTTTTTTGGTATTGGGAGACAATATTTTACGGTGAAGGAAGAGGCTGACATGGTTTAGTGGATATATGTATAACTACGACATATAAAGAACTGGAGCACGTGTGTTTATTAGCGGAAGTCCTTGCACGACGTGAGTTGTCTTTCTGGCTAATTTTCTTTGGTCCTATTCTGACAACAAAATTCTTTGAACAGATGGCATGGAACGTGTCGTGTGTATATCCCACGCCAAGGTTCCAATCGTAAAGATCTGGGATCCCGAACTCCGGTTGGCGTGTGATATGAACGTCAATAACACATTAGCCCTCGAAAACACCCGCATGGTCCGGACCTATGTCGAGATTGACGAGCGTGTGCGGCCGCTGGCGATGATCATTAAGTACTGGACAAAACGGAGGATATTGAATGACGCTGGTAATTTCACGATCTTTGCTATGAATATTCTTCCGTGGAGGGTTTGACTGACTCATATAGGTCTGGGAGGCACATTAAGTTCCTATACATGGATCTGTTTGATCGTCAATTTTCTTCAAACTCGAGATCCGCCAGTCCTCCCCAGTCTTCAGGCTCGTCCTCACAAGAAACGCACCACTGCAGATGGTTTAATGTGTTCTTTCGACGACGATCTCAATGCGCTGGCGGATTTTGGCAAGAAGAACAAACAATCCCTGGGCGAGTTGCTGTTTCAGTTCTTCCGTTACTATGCTCACGACCTTAACTACGAAAAGTACGTCATTTCGGTTCGGGAAGGCAAACTGGTTTCCAAGGAGGCCAAGGGCTGGCATCTACTCCAAAATAACCGCCTTTGCGTCGAAGAACCATTCAACACCTCGAGGAATCTGGGCAACACGGCCGATGACACGTCCTTCCGCGGTGTCCACACTGAATTGCGTCGCGCGTTCAAGTTCATTGCCGAGGGAAACCTGACCGACTGTTGTGAACAGTACGAATACCCCCCAGAAGAGGAGCGGACATGGGAACGGCCACCGCCGCAACCGCGACCCGTTCTCTCAGCCCCCTCCAATTCTTCTCGCGGTGGCCGGGGTGGTGGCCGTGGGGGAGGTCGGAATCCAAATCAATATGGTCGTGGAGGCCACACGGGACGTCGAACGTCGAATACTCCGAACAAGGCCAACAATTTCCGCAACAACAACGGTATGAGCGCGTCTGAGCTCTCGCTGCAGGCGCAGCATGCGCAGTATCTGTTACACGACCATTTGTACCAACAGATCCAGATTCTGCAAGCTCAGGAGCAAGAGTTGCGGCTCCAGCTTCAGAGTCAGGCGCTAATTACCGGTCGTTCTCCTCCCGTCGTTATTCGTCAACCCTTTATCCAGTTCCCACTTCCCCAGCAACAACAACAGCAAAGTCAGCAGCAACCACAATCGTCACAGTCCCCGACACAACAACCGCAACAACCTTTGCAGCAGCGAGAGTCGTCATCACCACCAATATCTTCTTTGGGTGATGAAAATTCTCGCTCGAGATCAAGTACGATCAACAATCAGAATGGTGCATCGGTTCGCCCGCAATATGGCTACTACAATCCCACCTATTATCCGGTGGCTGTTGCTGGAATGCCGGCGACCACTACCAGCCCTCCATCGCCATCGACGGCCGCCGCAATGTCTGAACTCCGTCGCAGCCCTCGACGGTCATCAGTGGCGAACGGGTCACCGGGCGCATCGCTGCGCGCACAGTCGCAGCCTGCACGCTCAATGAACAATACAACGTTACCGAGCTTTGCGCCCCTCTATGCTGTATCACAACCCATGGATGGGTCGCAGACATCGAAACCGCGTCAAGGCTCAGGTGGCTCACAGGAAGGGTCTTCGTCGTCCCAAGGGGAAGAGGAGAACAATGCATTCACATCCAGCAGCTTGCCTAACGGTGTCCGATCAACATACTTGGACGAAAATCGGCCGACCGAGTACATGGGATATTACCTCGCCACCTCGCCGCAGTTACAGGCCTATCAACAGGCCGGCATGTTATCTTCCCTACCGGCAGCTCCCGTCGGGCTTGCACTACAAAACGGCGGTTTTATCCCCATTGTGAATCCACAAGAATATATGGCTGCGATGTCAGCATCTCAGGATGCCTTTGCAGGTTCATCTGACACACAGTCAACATCAACCAACAAGACAGTGACACCGCAGGCGCCGTCATCGCAACGGCCGACGCCTCGAGCTGCGACGTCTGCAGATCGCGGGCCACTAATTGTGGATGGGTCTGTGCCTCCTAGTGAACCTCGTCCTGTGTATCCGATTGAACACATAGATTCGTACGCTTCGTCGAGTCAGTATAATTCGAATTCGGACGACCCTAACACCGACACTCCGGCTAGTGCCTCGGATACATTTTCTCAGGATTATCAGGACAATAGCTCTGTCGATATTGACCACACCTCATCCTGGTATTCGCGGCCGGCTGACCCCCCAAAGCCCGCCCAATCCGGTGAGCCTCTGGTAAACGGTCATAGCAACGGGAAACCGGGATTGCTTTCAACCAGACTACAGAATCTTCACCATTCAAACACGGAGAAGGTGGTGGAGCCCCCGTTGAAATCGGGAAAGACTCATCATCCGGCCTTCAAGGACACGCCCAATCACCGCCAGCCTGCGTCGACTGAGAAAGGGCAGTCAGCGTCTGGTTCTGCAACAACAGGAACCGAGTCAACATCAACATTTCATCACAAACGTCGACCCAACGGTGTCGATGCTTCTGAAAAGGTTAACGGAGTCAATCACAAGTCGAAACCTAAGGGCCGGCACGATGCATCTCATCATCACTCATCCGCGGACAAAGAACGACACCACGACCATCATGCGTCTCGCAAGACGAATGGGGTGAACGCGACTCACGACTCGAATCACACCAATGGTGGCTGGCAGACCAGCAAAAAGAAGAAACAGAAGAACGCCAGATCACACGCGGCCAGTGCTCATCACCACGGCGGAGAACCACTCCCGGCTGACGAATCGATGCGGAAAGGTGGTTAAAACAATAACAGATACCATCCTTCGGTTTAATACTTTTTTTTTTTTTTTCACACTTCCTTTTCCCATACGTCATTTTGGGACTTGCATCACGGGAAAATGGACGAAAATCACTAAAATTTCGAATAGAGTACAAATGTTTCACATATTTCGATATCCAGTTTGCAGACCGTTGTGGTCCGGTTGAGATTTGGGGAAACCAACCTACGTTCTGGTATGTCATTTTATTACCATGGCTGTGCCATGCATGCGAACAGAGTGAACAGAGTATATGATTGTTTTTTTTTTTTTTTTTTTTTTCGAGGTTGTTTTTTTCCCTTTTTTGGCGCATTTGTTGTGTTTGTTTGTTTGCTTTTTTTTTCATCGATGGAACATGAGAAAGCCTGGTCGCATCAATGGCATTTTTTGTATAGTACGGCCCTGAATTGATCAATACGAATAAAGATATTTAAATGTGAGAACTGGTTCAAAGTAGACACCTCGAATGGAACTTGGATGGAGTTCCAATGATCTGATAACAACTTTAGCCGAGGTACCTTATCGATCGATCTCCGAGAATGTCAATCAATCTCTGCCTCTTTTCTCCCTCGATTGTATATAGCACTGGACATATACCAGACATTGACCCGTTCACACAAACGAAAATGTCCCTCATAACCCCAGATTCCTTCCTGCGCCTCCCCGCAAACACCAATGGCAACAAGGCACCGATAACCATCTTCTTCATCACTGGCAACCCGGGCCTAATCGGCTATTACCATACTTTTCTATCTTTGTTATCTGACAGGTTGGGATTGGATGGCGGGACTTCATTCCAAGTTTTTGGGCATAGTCTTGCAGGGTTTGAATTGTCTAAGCATCAGGGGGGAAGGGAAGGGAAAGCGGAGAGAGAAGGTGGAAGGGGGCATTACTATAACCTCGAAGACCAAATATCTTATGTTCAGCGGAAACTGGACAGTTTCGTCACAAACCACTATGAAAAGAATAAACAAAATCATGGAGAGATGCCCAAGGTGATCCTCATCGGCCACTCAGTGGGCACTTATATCGCCATGGAAGTCCTCCGACGACACCGCGAGAGACAGCGCCAGCATACAACAGCCCCAGCGGATGGTAAAGGAACAGAATTCGACATAATAGGCGGTGTGATGCTCTTTCCTACTGTTGTGGATATTGCGAAGTCGCCTGCTGGGCAGCGATTAAGCGTCCGTTCCCCCTTCATCTCTTCTCTCATATCAATTGCAGTGGACGTTGGCTAATACGGTTGATAGAAGCTACTAAATTTGATCCCTGGACTCGCTATTATAGCGAGTTTGTTCGCCAGGGTACTGGCATGTTTACTTCCTAATGGACTTCTGCGATTGGTCGTCGCCGCGTTCATGGGCTTGTCTTCGTCGCTGGAGTCACCGGATAAAGTTGTTGTTGATACGACATGTGGGTTTTTGGGAAGTAGGGGAGTTAGGCAGGCTTTGTACGTCCCACCATTTTCCATTTACTTTCGTTTTACACGTCAGTACGAAGTAGATGGTTTGACTAATAGGGAAATAGGTATCTCGGCGCCGACGAAATGCAAACCATCACATCAGACAAATGGTCCGATGATATATGGGGTATGTCAGATGTTGAAGAGCCGCTTGCGAAGCTGTTTTTCTATTTTGGAAGGAATGATCATTGGGTTGCGGAGAGGACGAGGGATGAGATTATTGCTGTGCGGGGGAAGGATGGAAATGGGAAGGGGAATGGGCCTACGATGGTGGTTTGTGAGGACGGGTTGCCGCATGCTTTTTGTTTGAGTGAGTTCCCTTTTCTTTTCTTTTTGTTTTTTTTTTTTTTTTTTTTTTTTTTTTTTTTTTTTTTTTTTTTTTTTTTTTATAAAAAAAATCTTGGTGTGTTAATGGGGGTGTTGGCTAACTGCCTAGGATTCAACGAGGTTATAGCGAGGAAGACGGGGGATATGATTGGGGCGATTGTGGAGGGTCAAGTGCGGTAGAACTTCATTGTATGGTATGGGTATCTCGACAGTGTATTATGTTCGACTCTAAGTATATGCCTGACCACCCTGATGCGCCAATCCTGCTCTTCGGAAAAGATCTCCCAACACATCCTGCTGCTGCTGCTGCGACGGCTGCGGCTGCGGCTGCGGTGGCTGCGGTGGCCATTCCGCACCAAACTGATGCGCCCTCACCGTCCATCCATCATCCTGTGCCCTTTGCTGTCCGAAAAGGTCCTTTAATGAAACCTGTCTCCCCATCGGAACACTCGACTGTACCTCCTCGACCGGCGCGGCCGTCGTCGTTGCCGCTTCAGCGGCTATATGTAGTCCGTTCTGCTGCGATGCTTCGAGACGCTCGCGGGCGATCCGGAGACTGTGTCCAGCATGAACAGCACATTCACGAATCATTTGAGCATTGATAGCACGCGTCTGTGCAGTCGAGTTTGGCGGTGGCTCGGAGTAGATCCAAATACCGTAAATCCGCACATCACCGTTCCCACCAGCTGGTGTCCCCCCATTACCCCCGTTTCTCCCATTCGCATCAAGCGCCTCTTCATCACTCTTCAGAATCACATACTCTTCTGTAATCTCCACATTTTCCCCATCCACCAATGGGATATCAAAATTATTCAACCCCCGACGATTCAACACAAACGCAGTATACCGCTCCTCCCCCAGCACGCCCTGCGTCAAATTACACACAAACAACGTCCCCTCGACCCCACTCTTCTCCCATTGCCGTGATGCCGGGTTGAAGATGTAGACGACGGCGTAGGGGGCTAAGGAAATGATGGAATTGATGTGCGGGTTGTGGCGGCGGAGGACGGCGAGGTTGAGTTCTTCGTTTGAGCGGAGGGGTGGGCGGGGGATGGATTCTTGCTCTTGGTCTGTGTATTGGTCGATTTGTTTTTGGGAGGGTTGGGCGTCGGAGAGGTAGTTGGCGTAGTTGTCGGATTCGTAGTCGGAGGGTTGGAAGTGGGCGTTGTTGGCGTTGTTGTGCCGGAGGTTGTTGTTGTTTGGGCGGCGCGCTTTGCGGAATGTCATAGTTGCTGTTTGGAGAGAGATGTAGGTCGAGGAAGTGTAGTCAGGAAATGGTGGATGAAAGGTTGTTGTGGTGAAGACGATGATGTGGTGAAGATTAAGATGAATGCAGCAGGCCCCGCAAGAAGAACTTAAGCCGCTTCCCAATTAACCTCGACGATCGATCTGAACCTACGACCAACCTCCTTATTCTCTTTCTACTCTCTACTGAGAAATATATACCTTCCTCTCCTGCCATACTTGGTATACTGAATTATTCGCCTGCTCTGCCATTGCAATTGCTTCCGCTCGCCTCTCGCCTTCTGTCGTCATCCCTCCCGTCAGCCCTCTGCCACCGCCAACCACACCCTTACCACCCTTCAACAACGACACTCATAAGGAATTTGTTCAGATTGAGAATCTCTAAATGCAGGTATAATTGTGCTCTGTGCAACTGGCCCCAATCTGGTGTCGTGGGAGTATCTCAGTCGAGCGAGACGTGCTCGTTATATACTCCGCATGAAAATACAATCATACTTAATGAGGCCATGCGCATAGACTACACACGATAGTTTGACGAGAGAATACGAAAGGAAAAAAAAAAAAAAAAAAACTACACGTTCAACATGAGTCCCAGCGCGGGGCAACAGTCCGGCCCCGGAGGATACACCTCGGACAGCGACAACAGTGTGGTCTCTCCCGGCGGCGGCCCTCTCGATCCCTTCTCGCTTTCGCAGGGCGTTAGAGCACGCAAGTCAGAATATACCCGGCAAGAAATGATCCGGATTAAAGTCGCTACATGGAACGTCGCCGGTATACACGGTGCAGAAGAAGACATCGGGAAATGGTTCGTGAATAGCAAGGGGATTAGTGAGGGTCTTTCGGGGGTACAATTCTCGAACACTGGGAAGCCCGAGGCATGGAACGAGAGAAAGAATAGCGATGCTGGTACAGGACGGAGAAGGTCGTCTACGGATGCTTCGGACAGGCAACGGAGACACGGATCCGTCGCTCCATCGGCAGACTTTGAATTTGATGATGTTGGGCTCTATGCTCTTGGGTTGCAGGAGATTGTTGATATCTCGTCTGCGACGGAGGCTTTGAGACCGTTTACTGACCCGGCACCGGCGAATCGGTGGAAGACAGCGGTTCAGAAGGCCCTGCCGCCTGGGTACCAGCTTGTCGCTGAGACGCAGTTGCTTGGGCTGTTGCTTCTTATCTATGCGGCGCCTCGAGTCATCAATAATATATCAGGCGTTAGTACTTCCAGCGTAGGCACTGGGTTGTTGGGATACATGGGCAACAAAGGTGCCGTGTCGACACGTGTGGTGCTTGGAGAGACTACGTCTTTGGTCTTGGTGAATTCGCACTTGGCAGCTGGTTCGGATAAAAGTAGCTTGGAGCGGCGGAATTGGGATGCCGCCCAGATCATCAGCCGTACGAAATATTCTCCCATCGATCTTGAGAAGGGTCCCCCGGATTACATCGGGAAAGAGGACTTTGCCTTCTGGTTTGGTGATCTCAACTATCGACTCGGGGATATCCCAGGAGGCGATGTGCGCCAGGTCCTGTCTCGACACACGGACAATGAATATGACAAACGACACCAGTCGACACGCACACTCGATGACCGTCCTTCGTCTCCGCGCGTCATTGTCGAGGAGGGGGAACAGGATCCGCCATTGAGCAGCGCAAGCAAAGGCCATCCGGCGCTGTCGGATAAAGAGATTGACCCGCATACTGACCCGGCTTCTCTTCAGACTACTATTGCATCTCTTCTCCCTCATGACCAGCTTCGTATACAACAACAGAATGGAAAGGCCTTCCACGAGGGATGGCGCGAAGGCGATATCACTTTCCTACCGACTTATAAATATGACGTGGGTAGCGTGGCTAGATTCGACTCGAGTGAGAAGCACAGAGGTCCCAGTTGGTGTGATCGGATCTTGTTCCGGACACGCGAGGACAAGCAGAGACATGAGCGACTCGACCGCGAGCTCGCGGAGTCTCGAAAGAAGGATGAAGAGATGAAGGCTCGGGGCTTGGACAAAGCTGCAGCTGATGATAATGTACTGTTCGATTACGACCCGGAAGTCGATGGTGCGGATAGTGTCGAGGAAAGTGAACCATCCAAAGATAAGTCTGATGATGGTACGTCGTCGGAGTATCAGCTTGAACGGGACGGCCCTATTCGACTCGAATACTACGTGTCGCACCAGGGCATTCTGTCTTCTGATCACAAGCCACTGGATGCTGGTTTCACGCTTACTTTCGAATCTGTGATTCCGGAATTGAGAGCTAAGGTACACCAAGAAGTCGTGCGAGAATTGGACAAGGCCGAGAACGAAGCCCGCCCGGGCCTGACTGTCGTGGTGGATAAATATGAAGAAGACATCCGGAACGTTGAAGAAAAGGAAGACCCCAATTCTCTGGACTTTGGCGGCATAACGGTTGATGTGCCTGTTACTCGTTCGTTGACTGTTGCCAACACCAGCAGCGTGCCGGCTACGTTCACATTCGACAAGCCTGACCCCGAACAAAGGCAGTTTTTGTGGCTTGACTATCGAATCAGCCTACGAACAGAGCCTGAACACGATGGTCAGAAGCCCAAAACACCTGAACGGGAAAAGATCTTGGTCCCAGGCGAGGTTGCCAACATCGAGGTCACGGCGCACGTACAGGATCTTGAAACAATCCGTCTGCTGAACCACGGGCTCGTTAGACTCGAGGAAATCCTGGTCCTTCGTGTAGCAAACGGCCCAGACCATTTCATCTGTGTCTATGGTCAATGGCTACCCACGTGCTTTGGCCGTAGCGTGGTGGATCTCACACGCATGCCTGAAGCAGGCGCACGCAGCTTAGTCGCCCCGCAACCGCCGGAGCAGGCAAAGGACGATAATGGTGTTCGCCTCTCTGCGCCCCGCGAACTTTTCAGACTGACAGAGGCGATTTCTGAACTCTCCGAACGCGCCGTTGCAGAATGGGGCATGATACGAGGCGATTTTGAAGACAGCACTCCACCATGGAAGACAGAACCCTACGGACCAGGATGGCCATTCAATCCAGAGACATGGACACTGAAAGGCCGCGACGAGCGTGCACCACTACTAGCACGTGTCCGCGAATCGCTGGACACCAACGGCTCCCTGAGCACCATCTTCGAACCCGAAATCTCCTCTCTCGAGCGCCTAGAAATCCTCAGCGAAACCTTAATGGTCTTCCTCCGCTCCCTAAACGACGGAATCATAACAGCAGACGTCTGGCAGAACATGAACTCCCAAATCCAAGCAAGAGAGAAAGCCAAAAAACCCCCCCTCTCCTGGGAAGAAACCCAAGCCTGGGTCCTCGAAAACCTATCCTACTCCCCCGCCCACAGCGTCTCATTTACCTTCGTCACCTTCATGCTCGCGCGTATCGCCAATGAAGTCGCACCCGCGCTCTCCATGCCACCGCCTCGCCCATCCTCCCACCACCAACACTCCAAGAAATCCTCTGAAGACAAAAAACGCCAACAACAAACACCCCGCGAAACAGAAGACCAGCAGGCCCAGAACTCCGCCCCGCCTCCGACCCCCGCCTCATCGGCAGCGTTCATTTCAGCAGGTTCTTTCCGTCGCCAGTCGCGCTCGTTCACCACCTCTTCCTCCTCGAGCTCCTCGACTGATAGCGGTAATGCCAATGGGAACATAGCGGCGCATAGGCAGGCCGTTGAGACCGCGTTCGCAAGTATGTTTGCGAATATGCTGATTTCGGAGGACGTGCCTGCTCCATCGAAGGAGAAGGAGAGGAGGGCATTGGATGGGCGGAAGAGGAGTGTTGTTGAGCCGTTTTTAAAAATTATTGGGGTGGATAATCAGGGGCCTTCCGGGGGTGGGTTTTAATCCTTTATCAAACCTTGCCTCTTTCTATGGTTGAGTGGTGTTTTTTATTATCTAGACTAAGATGGGATAAATGGATGGATGGAGGTGATTTGTATACGTATCGTCGTCCGTGCTTTTTTGTCCCGTTTAGGATCAAGAGTTTGTACGTGGTGTTCGGGTTATAGAGTTATGATAGATGGGAGAGCATACGTTTATGCGAATATGATTGACGTTGGATTGTTATATCGCATTAGCGTAGTTAGTGGGAGCCCTGCGGGTGCTAGAGCTTGGTAATACTAGCTAGGGCAAATTTTACTAAATAAGTTGAATGAATTGTTGGCCTTAACAAAAAAGCAAAGGGCACCAAGGGCAAGGGGTGCGACTCTGGTCTTATAAATAGGTTGGAAGACCTGACAATCTGGCTTGAGTTACGCCTACCGTCCTCTTTCACCGCAGCCCTCATCATCCAACACCGCCACAATCGATTTCTCTCATCAATTTTCTGTGGCTTGTTTGCTGGGAGCTAGCCAAATTGCAATAACTAAAATCGGCATATCCTGCAGCATTCCACAAATCGTGTTGGGCCTCGTTGATTTTCTTCACTCATACGGCCCAGTTGTAGGCCTACACAGGATTTTAACGACAAATGGTTACCTTCTTTTTGCCCTCTTTGTTTTTATCTAACGCCCCACGCCGTCCAAGACAGATCTGGAGATTATTAGGTTCTTTCTTTTTTTCGTTTCTTTCCTTTTTCTTTTTCTTTCTGGCAGTGATTACTTTCAAAAGGTGCGCTGGCATAAAGAATGGAAAGTTCTGGATTTTGTTATTCCTTAAATTTCGTCTTCACTCTATCTTCTGATACGGTAGTGACTACACTCAAGTAGATACAGTAGACGACTAAATCAGCTTGACACTTCAATACTCATGGCGTTTGTTTCTAGACCGCGCCAAGAAACGGCTAGTTAGACAGGAATAATATTGACCCGGAAAATCTATACCACGTCTCGTTCGGAATGTTACCTATATTATCTACAATACAGATATTTGTGGCATGAACTTCAGGACTCAGCCAAGACTAATGACTCATAAATCATCTGCCTGGAAGCTCCGGCAATCTGCCAACATCGCACTATTTTTCACCTCTTCATTTACCGCCATCTGGGAAGCAAGCGTTGGTGATCAAGATACGTGGGTTGGTGAGTGGGCCCATCCATTCGGCCTGGCAAGTGGTTACGGCGATGTGACTTACGAACTAACTAGATTGCTGCATGGGTACAATGCCGGACACGATAGTGGTCTAGTGCCGAGTTGCCACATCATGCGTGAACCAAGTAGAACATGCTGGCAGATTCATGATGAAGAGACCTCTATATAAGACTCGTCGACCCCAGGTCCTCCTTTTTTTGTAGAGATTAGACGGAAAATGCTACTCCACAGGTGTATAGAAACCTACGATGACAACCCTTCCATCACCGTAGCCAAGCGCAAGGAGACCACCTTTAGTAGTTGAACAAGAGGAGGAACGATATTCAGACGGTAGCCATAGAAGCCTTTCCTCTCCAAAGACTACCCATTCATACATCAAAGATAACTGAGGGTTGGGCTGATCTAAAGCTGCGTGAGAGACGGCTCCGAACAAATCCCAATTGTTCGACTGAATCTGATCGGAATGGCCCTGCAGGGTCTGCCGCTCTTTACCCGTTGTGGCATCCCAGAGTTTGACAGTCTTGTCTTCTGAGCCGGACGCCACGGTCTGACCGTCCGGGGAGAAGGCTACAGACCGAACCCAAGAGGAATGGCCCTGGAGCGTCTGTCGTTCTTTGCCCGTCGTGGCATCCCAGAGTTTGACAGTGTTGTCAATTGAGCCGGACGCCACGGTTTGACTGTCCGGGGAGAAGGCGACAGAAAAAACCCAACCAGAATGGCCCTGGAGGGTCTGCCACTCTTTACCCGTTGTGGCATCCCAGAGTTTGACAGTGTCGTCATCTGAGCTGGACGCCACGGTCTGACCGTCCGGGGAGAAGGCGACAGAAAAAACCCAACCAGAATGGCCCTGGAGGGTCTGCCACTCTTTACCCGTCGTGGCATCCCAGAGCTTGACAGTCTTGTCTTCTGAGCCGGATGCCACGGTTTGACCGTCTGGGGAGAAGGCTACAGATGAAACCCGAGAGGAATGGCCCTGGAGGGTCTCCCGTTCTTTGCTCGTCATGGCATCCCAAAGTTTGACAGTCTTGTCTTCTGAGCCGGACGCCACAGTTTGACCGTCCGGGGAGAAGGCTACAGATAAAACCAAAGAGGAATGGCCCTGCAGGGTCTGCCACTCTTTGCCCGTCATGGCATCCCAGAGTTTGACAGTGTCGTCATTTGAGCCGGACGCCACGGTTTGACCGTCCGGGGAGAAGGCTATAGACCGAACTGAAGAGGAATGGCCCCGGAGGGTCTGCCGCTCTTTACCCGTTATGGCATCCCAGAGTTTGACAGTCTTGTCTTCTGAGCCGGACGCCACGGTTTGACTGTCCGGGGAGAAGGCTACAGACCGAACCCAACCAGAATGACCCTGGAGGGTCTCCCGCTCTTTGCCCGTCATGGCATCCCAGAGTTTGACAATCTTGTCCTCTGAGCCGGACGCCACGGTTTGACCGTCTGGGGAGAAGGCTACAGACCGAACTGAAGAGGAATGGCCCCAGAGGGTCTGCCGCTCTTTACCCGTTGTGGCATCCCAAAGTTTGACAGTCTTGTCTTCTGAGCCGGACGCCACGGTTTGACCGTCTGGGGAGAAGGTTACAGACTGAACCCAAGAGGAATGGCCCTGCAGGGTCTGCCGCTCTTTACCCGTTGTGGCATCCCAGAGTTTGACAGTCTTGTCTTCTGAGCCGGACGCCACGGTTTGACTGTCCGGGGAGAAGGCTACAGACCGAACCCAAGAGGAATGGCCCTGCAGGGTCTGCCGCTCTTTACCCGTTATGGCATCCCAGAGTTTGACGGTCTTGTCTTCTGAGCCGGACGCCACAGTTTGACCGTCCGGGGAGAAGGCGACAGAAAAAACCGAACTGGAATGACCCTCAAGTGTCTGCAGTTTTGCGCTCCACAAATGTTCTACTTGTGGTAATATGCGTATCCTCTTTGATCGTTCCGCATCGAAATTCTGTCTTATACGGCTTTTCATCGGTGAAAAAGTCAATCCTGCACAGTACAGTTGTAGCGGAGCAATATCAATCATTTGACTGTTCTCAAGAATGAATCGTTTTGCATCGTACAGGAACCTTGAGAATTTAGAGCCCACATCTTCCTAGATCAAGATTAGTCACTAGTTAAAAAGAGTCCCACGGGAACCTACCCGTACAATTGACAGTAAAGTATTTACCATGCCGACAGCCTCGGTTATAACCCCCATGAGACCCATTGCTTCCAGCCAGTGAAGGAAGTGCTTTTTGAGGAATTGGTGTATCTGATCTTGGTCCTCAAGTTTCACATGCCCTTGCTGCAGATGACTGGCCCAATATTGGCAAGCATATTGAAGCTCTGTTGGCAGATTACCTTGAATTGCCAGAGGGTCAATTTCCGTCCTCAGGGTTCCAAAGCTTGATAGACTGCAGATGTTTCTTTTTAGACCACCATTTTCTCTTTCCATAACACGAATGCAATGAAGTCCTATTGTCTTGTTCATTGCGGCTTCATTAATTGAGAATTGAGTTTGTTCATCCGGTTCATTATTAAGAAGAAAGTCCCGAAATGATTGATGAAAGAGCCTCACTGGTTCTCCCATTTCTTTGGGTAATCGAATGACAGATTGAAGGGTGTTTAGTCTAGTCTGAATGGTAGCCTCGCGGGTATCGAGCAGCTCTGCTAGAGGCATGATTGGGAGGGGATTCTGGAGGATAATGACGGCCCCCACAATGGTTTGAAATTCGTTCACCAGCTGGCGAACTTGCCTCCCCTTCTGGTGAACGAGAAGTCTTTCCAAAATAGGTAAGTATGTCCCTGATAATTGCGATGCTTGCTGGTCTTGATGAATCAAAAATCCTTCCAAGCTGGCTTGGGGGTCCCAGTTCGGATCTTCAAAAACACGGTAGATGGTAGCTGCGTAGATAAAAAGAGGAACTGTCATTTGTACAAGTCTTTGGATATTCTTCTCTCCAGGCCATCTTTTATCAAGCCCCCTTTCCCTTCTAATATTTGGAAGCTTGACTTGAAAGAAAACCCCAATATCGTGTTCAACAGTTGATTGAGATATTTCGTGAAGAATAGCAGCTTTGTGTTTGCCCTGTACTTCATTGAATCCAGAGAGGATGCTGGACTCTGGTCTGCTCGTCACAAAGAACCGTAATTCCACGGCAGAATCAGTGTGCTGAAGTTCTGGGAGGCGCTTTATAATGGTTTTGATGTTAATATCATCCTGACATTCATCCAAAGCATCAATAATAATCACGAGTAAGAGCCTTTGACCCCTGCTCGTTCTGATGGTGGATAAGGGTTCCTTCAGAATCCGGTCAAATTGGTCTCCGAGTGAACTTTTGACAAGGGTGCTGTCTTGTCTAATGGCCTTCATGACGCCATCCTGGAATTGAGGCAGTATATCAATCAATTGCTTCGCTATTGTGGTAAGAAGATTGTCTGACGTGGCACGATCTCGCTCACTTCGGTTGAAGAAGAAGCTGGCTCCCAGTAGCCCCCTCTGCTTCAAGTCTCTCGCAACCGTCCGCGAAATGGTTGATTTTCCAGTTCCAGCCATGCCTTGTAACCAGAAAACTGGTTTAGCTGGGGAATCATTCACCCAGTCTTCAATCGTTTCAAGAAGCTCAGTCCTCGTGTTTTCAAGACAATAGTCCTGAGGCTCGTTCGCATGCGAATTGAATGCAGCTCTTTCCGCAATGGGTAGTTTCGCCAACACAAGCTCATTGTCCACATTTTGAACCTTTCTCAGCACTTGCTCTCCCCGAGCTAATATCTTGTCTGCCTTGGCGTCCAAGCAAAACCATTCTTGCATTCTGGCTAAGCTTTCAAGATGGAGCTCCTCTTTTTGAATTGCATTTTTGATTTCCGCCAAAGGCAGTTGGTTCAGCGCAATAACACTCTTCAGGATTCTCTTCCCCGCACGAGATCGGCCGATTCTGATGACCTCAGCCGAGTAATCAAGGACAGCCATGTATACATGACGAAGGGCGATTTCGATGGCGTCTTTCGTATTGGGATTTTTATTGAGGTAATGTATTTCGTAGAGAGTGGTGCGAGCAATGGTGTCAGCAAGAAAGGCTGAGGATTCAAACCACTGATCTTGCTGGTCGCAGTAATTCTGAGTCATCTTTTCGCATATTTAGCACAACTCCTTTAGTGTCATATGTACGCCACATACCATCAAACCAAGAGACACGATTGACCAGGCAGTGGACGCATGGCCAGTAGGGTCACAAGCTACGACAGCACTGATACTTTGTCGAAGGCTCAACGCAGCGTCGAGGATTTGTTTTGCCGTTTTGTAAAGCCTGTTATCGTTTTTCAGACTTCGAGTCTCGTATTGCTCTTGTACGGTCTCAATGACACTGTGAAGAGCAATTTCAATTTTCGGAGATGTCGTGTCCCTGTCACAATGAGCACTCTCATTTGTAAGCCCAGTCCTCAGAAGGAGTTGCTTGTCTTCCTTAAGCTGACTGAAAGCAGCTTGCCAGAGGTTCGGAGGGAAGGGTGTCTCATTAGGCCTTTCATCATTAGGTCTTATATGGGGCCCCTCCACGGGATTGGCGGAAGCTGGCAGTGCTGGTGACGGCGGCGTGGTCAGTGTTGGTGGATCATGTAGCTTTTCAGCCCCAGCACTACCTATCTTGCTAGGTTTCAAATGCCGTCTGAGACGGCATTTGAACTTCCCGAAAGCGCTGGGAGACATCATGGATGGAAAGTGAAACTGGAAGCATGGTGAGACAAGGAGTTTCGGTCAGGTCATTGGTTGGCTTGGCAGGGCGGCAAACGAATATTGCTTTTTCTAACTGGCGCACCAGAATCCCTACATCAACTTATACTGAACAAGGTAGTTACAGGTACAAACAATTGTCAACCTGAAAAAATTACCGAAATTGACTGTATAAAGCTCAATTTGTGTGTTCACATTTTTTGTGGCCTAGCGGTCATTTTGGTTGACAACATTGAATACTCAAGGCGTAGCCTACATATGATTCCCTCTCTCATAATGCCTTCAACAAAATTACGCTTTATGCTCAATAATAACCAATCATATTGTTGTGCCATCTCATTAAAGACTGACAAGCGTATTCCACACCCGACCGAAGGGCGAATTTTTGCCATAATACCAACATATTTAACTATAGTTCTTGGACAAAAGTCTACGTAATTCTCCGCAACCACGAAAATATATATCACCAGAACATTTCTTTTCCACATAAAACAACCAAACATGAATATTTTTACTAGATAATTAGATAAGAAATAGATAAGTGGCATATAATTGATAAAATAAAATAAAATCATATTAGTAATGTGTATACCGCCCCTTTGCCTCTAAAACTGCATTGACACGGTTCTCCATAGACCTTACCAAACCATCAAAATATTCCTGTCCTAAACTCTCCCATGCATCCTCCATGGCCATATAAAATTGCTCTTTCAATTGCTCTTTAGTCCCGTTAAATAATTCAAGGTCTGGATGGAGGATATATATACGCTCTTTCAACTTGGCCCAGGCATGTCCAATAAGATTCAAACCAGGTGAGTAGGGTGGCCAGTCAACAAGAGGAATACCATGCTCATCAAACCAATTCTTAATACTATTGGCTGTATGTATGGGGCATTATCTTGCACGAATTCCATACCAGATTCCCATATAGCAGGTAGATAATCTTCAATAAGTCTCAAATAGGACTGAAGAATACCCTCTTCGAGCAGAATCCTCATCCCCACTCATTCAACAGATTTCAGTGTCGCTACCACCCCAGATTGCCGCCCAAATCATGATAGATATTCCTTTACCTTTGGTGTATGGAATTATATGCTTTCCCCCCCCCCCCCCCATTTCTCATTGAAGTGGTTGTGTGATAGGCTACGCCTAGGTCAGTACTCGGAGCAGGTCCTCGTAAGCATGTGACAACTTGGTTAGATGCCCAACCCACATCGGGCATACCTTCTCGCGGATTCTTATATATTAGTCTTTGATCTCAAATGTAATGGCCCAGCCCAGCGTTTCCATCAGCAAACATCATCAACACGGCAAACAATACCATGAAAGCAATCAAGACGAACAAGCTGCTTAGCGAGACCACACAGAACCATATGGGACTTCTTCACGTAAATAGACTTGCCTCTTATTTTCTTTTCTTCTTCAGGTTCGATATTCTCGTCGATGGCTACTAGTTGGTTTAGATATGAATATCAATTCGTTAATATCTTCTAGCTATTGAGCCCGTGAAATCGACTGGCGTTCTTCTTTCTTTCTTTTTCTTTCTCTATCGAATCCTTCTTGTATATATAGCTGATAGTAGCTTTTAGGGCTTAGCCCTTTACAGGTTGAGCCGCCATACCCATTGATTCTTCTTTCCCTTGCCTAGCTCAACAGAGCATTCATCACTCCATATAACTTTGCTCCACTGCTCATGTGTCCAATCCTTGCGCATGCATGCCCATTCATAGCGTAGTTTGGCTATTTCCTCGGTTAATTGAGGCCTTTTTTGCGCTCTCCAGTGGCCATACCCAGATTCTTTTAACATGCGTGCAATTGTGCGTGTTGTCACGGCGCCCTACTAGGATAATGTAACATCCAACTCATGGGTTCTACCTAGGTAGCTATCGACGAGAACAATCAACATGAGGAAGGAAGAAGAGAGGTGACGCCGTATTTATCAACAAAGCAAACAACTGCATCTCATGTGATAGCCAGCCAACGCGACCAGGCCGTCACACGTGTAGAAATGGGCATCCAAGGTAATTTGCAGATATCTTCAGTTTTGATAAAGGGATCCCGCTTGATATGTAAAAGAATATATCGCTTATCAGCATCAAAGGATCTCTGGCTGTCCGATGCGAGGAGAACTAGTGCCAGTGGTGGAGGACTGATATGTTGCAATGGTGGTTTGAATCGTTGTATATGGTAAATTCGTTTCGCGCTGAATATCGGCCTTTTTCTGGCCTGCAAGGAATCGGCCAACTATGATCCCCCGTTGAAAAGGTTCTAATTCCTTTCTACTAGTCCTATTAGAACTAGTAGACCGTAAAGGGGTGCGAGGCATGGTGTAGGTGGTTGAGAAGATGATGGGCAATATCAGGTGCCGCGTCGCGCGACCCGGAATTACGTAGACTTTTGTCATGTGACTGTATAAGGGCTCTAAATCATTCCCAAAATTCACCAAACCCGCTAGTAGATCCGAAAAAGATAGTATATATCAAGAGACAAGAAGCATACGGTGTGGGATCAGCTATGCTCCCGAATAGGATTCAAACTCGTCCCATCTGGCAAACCTTGGGTAGCCTTCTTGAATCGCCTTGGAGATGGCGACGCACGATTTTGTGGCATCTTCCCTTTACCTCGCTTTGATGGTGACAGCGACGATGGCTTTCCCGTAAAGCCCCTAAAATAATTCCAACATCGCGTGACAACCCGGAACGGCAACGCCGTCAATGACATAAAAATCTGAACGGGGACAAGCATAGTAGCATATAGCCACTCACCGAGCCGGAATGCAAACCCGCGGTTTCGATGGCGATAACCAGCGCGATGCGCTGCAGCTGCTAGAGAGAGGGCGTCGTGGACTTGTGTCTCGAGAGCTCGGAATCGGGAGTCTGTTTCGTATGAAGTGACTGCTGTGCGCTTTTCGTAGCGGCGGACTGCGCGGTTTAGGGCGTCGATATCGGGTTGAATGGCTTTTCGGATTTCAATGGTTGTTTGGGATACGAGTCCTTGGTTCTTTTCGTTTTCTTGGTTTGGGGATTCTGGTTGGTCTTGAGACGATTGTTCGGAGGAAAGTCGTACAGCCGCGGCCTCTGCGATGTGGACTTCGAGTTCTTCGAGACGCTTGCTGAGGTCTGCGACTTTGCTGGCGTCGATCCTGTCTTCTTCGTGGTGTAATGCTGAATGGACGGTTCGTTGGAGGTGAAGCGTGCGCGCTTGTACCATCCTTAGCAGATGTGCGAACGGTCGAATTTCCGACGCCAGAAGGAAAATAGTCAGGTTGTAGTTCGATACCAAGCCTTCCGACGGCCGTGATAGATTGGACCTGATGGTATGCAGGAGCCATGTTCCGATCATGGGAAAGATGAAGCATGATGCGAGAGCTGCGAGTTCGTGGATCATGAGTTCGCGATTCGCTGCATTGGCGACGGCAGATAATCGCTGCGATTCTTTTCTTGTCTCAGTGTCTGATGATGACTTGCGTGTGTGCCCTGATGTTGCTTGGTCGTAATCCGACTCTTCCTCCGGTTCATAGTACTTGTCTTGGCGGACCGCCTGGGCGGAACGATACCAATCCCTGAATATTATCAGCAGATGAAAGGAGAAAATAAAAAGAAAGCAAGACATACCATGGCAGCCGAACAGACCAATTTAAGAAAATGGCCGCCAAGACCAGCAAAGTGATGTCAGTGACTACAGCACCTCCATTTTTAAAAAACACCCCGGCGATTGCGGGGAACAAGGCTAGACCCAGCGGTGCGGATTGCCAATGCGATTCCTCCTGCAAGTCGACATCGTTGGTTCGTCTGGACACGCGGGGAAGGAATAGGTCGTCTGTGGATGATCGTATCGAGTTCCGTGCTTCGGATACCGAATCCGATAATGTGGAATTCCGGCGTAATACCGATGTCGAGTTCAAGTCCTCTGCGAATGTTGTTGTCGCGACTCGAGCCGGTCCGCGTTGACGGAGACCAGAATTAATGTCTTCTTTATCTCTGCTAGAATTGTCCGTGGAAGAAGTCCGGGGTGAAGGCGTTGGCCGAGGTTGCTCCGTCATGATTAACAGGGACCTGAGCGCGATCAGCCACGTGAGATCAATTAACTCATGCTCGAGGGGAAGCAGCAAGAGAAAAAGACCCGTGAACGTACCATAGAAATTGCACCTGACTTCTCTGGAGCACGGACTCAGTTTGCTAGAATTGCGACCTTGGAAGTGTGAAGTGGTGTGATGTACAAGTGAACGGTGAGGACAGGACTGACAGGTTAACTCAGCTATGACGACATGTGACTCGGCGGAACCGGGAACATTTGCTTTGGCTTGCTGACTCTGGTTAACAAACGAACAAACCTTGTTTGCGACCTGGTCATGGCTCTATTTGCCATAGCTGGCGGTAGGTCATGTACAGAGAAGTACAATGCTGCAATTGACTGCCCCGGAGTCCGTCAACATCCCACTCCGCTATGGCCAAAAAGGGTTATCGCAGGAACCCCATATTCCTATACGGAACACTCCTTTTCGGGGCTGAAGAAAGGAGAATGTATCGCTCATAGAGGCCTTTGTTTTCAAGCGAACAACAATTAACAATTACTGAATGTGGCTATTCTTGGAAGTCATTTGTGCTGCGAACCGTTGTTAGAACCTGTCAAGCCAGAGCCTGTCAGCCAATGGTTTTCGAAGGACGGTCATGGGTAACAGACTCACGGGAAACCCGGGAGAAACTATTTTTAGCTCACCTTCCAGTCATTTGCTGTGATGGCGTTGAGTGATGGCAAAAGCATGCTGAGCCCACCCATCACAAGCTATACGAGACCAAATCTTAAGGAAAGCTCGGAAATGCAATTCCACCACCATATTAGTTTAAGGTTTGACTTTCCAAAAAACAATTTCTCATGGATATCATAACCAGGATGTGCAGTGAAGTTGGACGAAGGAAGGACGAAGATGAGGGTCAATAACGGCTGTCAACGGGAGACGGCTCTATTGATACCCCAATGCGGTAAAGCGGCATCTCGCCACAACCGCGCAGCGCAACGACAACTTTTCGATTCTCTTTTTTTATGCTTTTACCTTGACTTCACTCATTCTTTATTCAATTACCACAAGCTCTAATCGGTCAATGGGCAGGTTTCCTATTCAGTTGACTCCGTCACAGCCATTGACCATGTACAAGTATACAGACTCGCCTGGTCCCGTCGGGGTCCAGTTCAATATGAATGGCTTACCTCGTTTCTCATTCTTCCTATTCCTATATCCAGCAAAGTTAATACTCTGTCTCATCATGACACGCAGTGAACACTTCTCTCCCGGTTTCATCCCGTTGTTTCTCTTATTGGCGTCAATAGAAGATATCACGGGCCATTCTCCTGCTTCACTCCCTTCTCCTCCATGAATTTTCCTTTAAGAAATGATGCCAGTACATTGCTCCTTGTCTTTTATCATCTTCCTTTGCCTCGTTGAATTGAAAAGAACTGGCGTCGACCTCGAAGTTTATACGATCACCGACGTCTGCACCCGTTGCACACAACACAGCCCTCGATATTCGTCAAAATGGTCTATCCGCAGGCGGTGGCCATTCCTTTCATATCCATTATTGGCATTTGCATCATTATAGTTCCCCTGATCCTGCACATCAAGAACAAAAACTATCCGTCCGCCAGCATACTCGTCTGGTTCGTCTTACTCAACCTCTTCAACATCATCAATGCCTTCATTTGGTCAAGCGATGATACCGACACATGGTGGGATGGCACTGGTCTCTGCGACTTTGAAGTCAAGATCATGATTGCCAGTTACGTCGCGGTCCCCGGAGGGCTGCTGTGCGTGTTCCGCAGTCTGGCTCGGGTGTTGGATACCAGGTGTGCCGCCCTGGTTCCTGATAAGAAGCAGCGCTGGCGCAATCGTGGCATGGAGATACTATTCTGTGTTGTGGTTCCGCTTCTTTCGATGGTTACCCACATCTTCTACCAGAAGAGTCGGTACATGGTTTATCAAGTCTCGGGCTGCATCAACAACTTTGATGATAGCCCCATTTCGCTTGCGCTTGCGTTCATCTGGCCGCCTATAATTTGCTTACCCGCGTGCTGGTATTGCGGTATGTATGCCAAATTGTTTATCACATGGAATTTGCGGCTGACATCGTCCAGGTCTGGTTCTTCACCGTCTACGCCTATATCGAAGCCAATTCGGGGACATCCTCAACGCATCCAACAGCAACATCAACAAATCTCGATTCATACGGCTCTTTTCTCTAAATTTCATCATGCTCGTCATCATATTCCCGATCCAATGCTACGTTGTCTGGCAAAACACGGTCCTCTCGTTTCCCTGGCATACCTATACCTGGAGCGCAGTCCATGGGCCGGAGTGGCATACGATCGTCAAGTATACTACCGGTGGAAATGCATTTTTTGACCGCTGGGTCCCTGTTGCCGCATGCTTTCTCGTGTTTGTCTTCTTTGGTTGCGGTAAGGATGCCAATGAGCTGTATCGGTCGTTCTTGAGGTCGTTAGGGCTTGACCGTTGCTTTGCTTGTCTTGACACGGAGTATAACCATCAGACGAGTATGGCCAGTTCTTCTGGCAGCAAGGTCAAGCTGTTGTTTAGCAAGAACAAGATATGGTCCTCTACCTCAAGGTAGGCAGTTCCTCCATCCGTTCAAATTGACAATATTCTAACAACACCAGAACCCACATAAACACAAACAATGCCCCCACAAATCCCACGATGCGCCAATCCTACCATGACATCGAAAAAGGCAAGCCTTCAATCCGCATCGACGACGACCAAAACTCCCACTCCGAAGAAAAATCCTGGTTCCGATCCTTCTTCCGCCGCCCAACTCCGTCTAAATCCTCCAGCCACCAAAGACACCCCTCCCATCTTTCATTGTCCGGTCAAAATACCGTATCCACGAATGCTTGGGCTGGGGTGAGCTGGAGCCGTGGAAGTGGTGAATTCAGCCCGAGTCCTACTAGGAGGGATTTTATTCGGGTGAGGCAGGAGATTAGCCAGGAGAGTGTTGTGCAGGAGGTCGTATGAGGCGCTTTAAGTTGATCTGCTATGCGATATAGATACCCTGGGGTTGTAGGGTCTACGTACTCTCGTTCCTTTCTTTGCTTTTTCATCTTGCATGATGTTTACATAGGTAGCTTGATAAAAGCAATTAATCTAATTCTACTGAAGGCTAAGACAGTATCAGAGTGGAGTGTATTTGAATAGTTCAACTAGATATCAAGCTCCTACGCACTACACTATGATTGACCCGTCCCTTCTTTGCACCATCCAAATATAGCAACTCCGTAACCGTAAATCATCATTTAGAATTATCCCGACAGCAAAACGACATGACAAGAACAATCATAGACATCGTATTGGCACCGACTAACATCGTAATAATAGTACAGGGGACAAGGACCAAAGGAGATAGAATGAAGTTAAGACATAATCGACAATTAGATCTCCATAAGGCACCGTATATCTAAATTCCTAATTCATTTATTGATTCTCGGCAGACTCGGAGCCCTCAGAGTTCTCGCCCTCCTCTCTTCTGACGAAGGGGCGGCGGAGGACATCGATGTTGCCTGGATGAGAATCAATTGGTTAGTTTTGTTTCTTGCTTTTCCTCTTGAGGTATTAATGGCATGGTAGGCACTCACGCTGCACAAGAGACAACTGTGTGTTCTTCTTGCCCTCGGCATCCTCGTACTGACGCAAACTGGTATCGGCCTCGACGTAGACAAGCGAGCTGCAAACAAAAAGACCACCGATTAGCCTCCCATTTTTGTTTCCCAAATAAAATAACAGAAGAACATACCCCTTAGGCAAGTTAAGCAAAAAGTTCTTCTGACTCTCTGAATCCGGGAATGAAGCCACACGGAACCAGTCCGTCTTGCGGCTCTGCGTACGGCCGTAGTCGCTAGCAACAACGTATCTGATAACCTCGCGGCCAGAGGCGGTGGCCTGCAGCTCGGGCTCGGTGCCCAGACGACCGGTAAGGATCATGCGGGCGAGGTCGCGGCGCGAGGTAGTGCTGAAGGAGCGCGCGGCGGTGGAGGCGGCGCGGAGGGAGGGGCGAAGGGAGTTCATGATGGCGGACATGGTGATTATATTCTGGGATAAAGATTGGAGTTGGAATGTGGAGGTGGTATGGATGGAAAACACAGTCTTGGGGGCGGAGTAGTTTTTCTGTTTGTATTCTGCCGTTTTTGGTATGACACGTGATTTAGCGGTCTGCCAATGATGCTATGGTCGACTCCGTACTCTGTACAGCATCTCTATTTACAAGTATGGAGTAGTAGCGATTGAGAATCGCATGCTTGGGATACTCAGGTCAACGGATACTTGTTTTATCCAAGCCACAAATCATGACAATGGCGAAATGCTTGTGTTTGCCTGTCTGTCCTGCGGTGTCAGAAAGCCCATTGAATCAATCCAACGCTCAAGTTCTTGCATGCATATATCCAATATCAACCCTTGTGAACATTGCCGTGCAGGTCATTTTATGAAAGACTCGAGCGTGTTGGAGTGCATGTGCTAGCATGTGAGAGATCACCCCCGTCTCTCTTTTTCTCCATCGTTCTTCAACCTGCAGCGTTGAAGCAACGCTGCAACACCGCTTGTTCTTTCGGTCAGGCCAATTTGTTCTTGCTTGATTTGTCTTGGCTTTTATCTTCAAATCATGTCAAGCCATGACAATACACAACAAGAGAATGCGGCACGAGTCCACCAATCATGAGCAGTCGGCTCTCACAAACTCCTGCCAACGGCAGACGACCTGTCACATCAGACTTCAGATAGCGTCAATAGTCCAGCAGATGAAGCTTCGGGATGTTTATTTCTAGAACTCCAGGTCTGAACCTTAAGCCAGCCTGACCGCTTCATCCTGGAAGGCAATATACCGTGTACGGAGTGCTCTGCGCTCGCATACAAGTACAGGAGAACATCCCTTTATTACGCATCATATCCGCACCGACCCATCTGTCGAGGACAAAAACACCTACGCAAAGGCCAAATCACCGGGGCTCTGTCAAAGGCATTGTTGGCACTTGGTGGACTGCTAACGGACCAGGCATGTGGAGGTTAGCGAGGGATAGCCCGACAGGTTCAGGAACAGGGCCAAACCCATGGGATTCCGCAGCGAATCAGGAACCGATTTCCCCTGATCGCTGCGACTAACGAGGATAACTAGTGATATTCGCTGATGTTCGGATGTTTGTCAGATCCCGCCAGATGTTCCTGAACTTGACCCCGTCGCGTTTTTCCGGGAAATCATTTTTCTCAGGGGTTGACAGAATCCCGAATTTTTTTTTTTTTTTTTTTTTTTTTTTTTTTTTTTTGAAAAAAAAAAAAAGTCTTCAACATATCGTTTGCAGCTGCCAGTCTTTATTGATAACAACAAACTTTGGCTAAGCCGGGACTGGCAATGGTTTTCAATCTATCGGCGGGCCCTAATGCGTAGTACATCCGGCGCCGCCGGACCGCACTTATGAGCCGCGCGAAAGTTATCGGTGATCATGGACACTTCCCCGAACAGCTGTGATCCTTACTTCGCCTTGTTTTCTCTTCACTCTACCCAGTTTGCATGCGGTATGAGGTAGGAATATAGGAAAACTGAAGTACACTCCGCATTCTGTACGGAGTGTATAGTATCAGTAATGCAATATTTGCTTTTGATTCTCAAGCATGCGGGTTGATAAACTCCGCTGATACATGTACGAGACAACAATTCCAAATATGCCACCGACTATTAGTGTCATACTTCCAATACTCGAAACAATCGCATTAGGAAGCGTGGGGCCACGCCAAATCCTGATCTGCCCTATGACCCAGTCGTGGGTTCCATTTCTGACATTACTCCATTCAACCTTTCGTGCAGGGCCCAATAAGAGATTTCCAATTTATGCCGCTGCAGCCTTTGAACTATGGGCTGTCCGGCGGATCGCTTCATTTCGCACTCGTCCCAGCTGGGATGTATCTTGCATCCTGGACCAGGGTCACAACTTTATTAACGCAATCAAGCCAATGATGTGCAAGCTAGGCCCTGATCATTTCTGATGGACCAGATCCAATAAATCCTTTATCTAGCAGGGGAGCTCTCATTTTCCCTCTTTTTCTTTGGTCGGTTCTCTTTGAGCTCTGCTACTTGTCGCGTTTCCTCTGTCAATACTTCGTGTGCTACTATCCCCGGCAAATATCCTATCTTATGCCCTTTGAACGTGCTTCAATCTTCTTTGAGAACTGTCACTGCTTTTTCGGATTGGACGTGTATGACAACGATGCTCGAACAACAATAGAAAGAGAAGGGGTCTCCATTGTTGTTCGCAGCGATCTTCCATCCAGATCCTGGGCATTGTGCGACATACCTCTTCCCATCTTGACCTCTCCAGACCAACAATATGCGGCTTTTTCAATTAATATCCTTGATCATTCTCCTAGCACCAAGCTTGGTTACACTGGCAGCGCAGGTACCTCACGATGTACGCGGATTTGAAACTGTTTCCATCCTGGAGGCAAGAGATGAGCCCACAAATACTACTACGACAGCTGTCGCATCGGATAGCGAGACGACGGCGACGGCTACCACCTCGGGCGATTCTTTCACGTCTATGTCAGACACAACCGAGACGCCTGCCTCGACGACAATTGCGTCTTTGAATGCATCGAATACATCGGATGGTAGGCTGGATTGCTTAAACCTATCCGATGTCGTGTGCTGATTTCCTCTTTAAGGTCACAAAAAGCAGACAGGGTCACCCAAGCCAGGAGGACTTCCTATAAAACCTTCGATTACGCCTGCGTTAGGTGTCGGTGGTTTTATCCTGATAATTATAGGCGCGGTTCTGGCGTTGATTGGGATTCGGAATCTATGGTATTACTCCTCTCACTTTTTTAAATAGTGCAAACCATACTAACCAAGGGTACCAGGGTACAAGTGTTCCTATCTGCCTCCCTGCTGACCGGATTAGGTATAACTGTGAGCCTCCCCTTCACATACCATCAAATCCACTAAACCTAACTCTCCCAGGTCTTGATCCTCTATGTGATGAATCCCCCAGTCAGCAACGCAATTCAAGGAGCCTACCTCGTCGCCGTGTTCTTCTCCGGAATCACCTTCGGGGCGCTCGCGATCGTCTTCAAAGAATTAACGGAAGGACTCGGATGCTTTCTGGGCGGCTTCTGTGCTAGCATGTGGCTTCTTTGTTTGAAGCCGGGCGGTCTTTTGACAGATGTCAGTTCGAAGAGCGGATTCATCGCGGGGATATCAGTGGGATTCTATGCGTTGTCGTTTAGTCAATATACGCGGCCTCATGGGTTGATCGTGTCTACTGCGATTTCGGGGGGTACGACAGTTTCTCTTGGGATTGATTGCTTCAGTCGCGCGGGATTGAAGGAATTCTGGTTGTACATTTGGGGTAAGTCCACTGAGTCAAAGGTAGAATCAAAAGAGACTAACAGGAACAGAACTAAACGACAACATCTTCCCTCTAAATACCAACTCCTACCCCATAACCCGCAACATCCGCGTTGAACTTGCCGTCACCGTCATCGTCGCCCTTTTAGGAATTGTCTCTCAACTCCGTCTCTGGAAGATGATCCGCCAGCGTCGTCGAAACGAAGCCAAAATGCGCGAAGAAGAGAGAAAGAAAAAGGACGAAGCTGATACTGAAGCCGGAAGACAATTGGAAGAAACTACCGTACGCGAACGAGCGGAATGGGAGGCGAAATATGGAAGCAGTACTGACTCGAAGCCAACATCGAGTAGTACCCAGGAGGTCGACGAGAAAGACGGACAAGATATCGATTTGGAGAAAGGTGAAGGGGCCGATGTAAAGAGCGTCACGGCTACATCCCAACAATCATACCGCTGCTCTGAATGCAGAGAACGAGAAGCCAACGGCGGCCTCGACTCAGAAATTGCATCCAGAGCAGCCCACGACAACAATTCACTCACAAATGATGAGCCCCACAAATTAACCCTCAACCAAGGCCCCAACACAGAACCAGAACCAGCAGCCCCAGTCTTCGATGGCGCCGCCGCAACCCGTATAAAAGATGATAACCAGTCTGAAGTAAGCGCTGTTATTGGTTCAGAAGCGGGAACTTTCTCGAAGCGGTTTTCGGGAATGACTATTTTGCAGCGGGACTCTATGAGGAGTAGTATGGCGCTTGTTCGAGAAAGGGATGATGATGCTACTTCAAATACTTCTGAGGAGGGTGTTGATGGGGATAGTGGTTTGGCTTCTCGTCGTTCGAGCGTTTACTCGGCGGAAGGCGAGGTGAAACCTGACTCCCGGGGACCGGAAGATAAACCGGTCGCTGAGGAGTCGAAGCCCCATGAGGATGGTCCTGCACCCAAGGAGGACACCATTGAGCAAGAATACCCTGAGGAGCGCTATTCCATAAGACCGAATCAGATGGAGCTAGATCAAACTCGAGGCTCGAAACACGACGACTCTACAAAAGAACAAGGGGAGAATACCTTGGAGCCCGAAAAGGCAACAGAACAGCTAGAGACCTCCGAACACAACGAAAAGGATACCCCCGTTAGCGAACAGAAGCAGCAGGAAAACCAAACTTCTCAAATAGAGCAGCAGGACCAGCCTGCTACATCCGTTTCAGATTACAGCCACGATGGCCCGCCAGCGTCTTCATATGAAGCAGGCGAGAAGCCCCGTGTGCGAGATGATAGTAAGGTGCAGACTCTGGCAGCTTTATACGATGACGCAGTGAAATCTGCAGAAGCATCTCAAAAGCCTAGTGCAAGTGCTTCATCGAAGGGGCCAGGGTCTCATGCAGAACAGCAAGGCGTGAAGCCTCCTGTTAAGCCCAAGCCGGCAGCGGAATCAACAAAAAGCAAGCGCTCTGAAGAGCGGAAATCTTCTTCACAGAAGGACAAGGTGAAAGCCCGTGCAAAGAAGGAAAGGGTCACTCTGAACGAGAAAACAGTGAGACACCTTCCAGAAAGAACATCCAGAGTGGTCCTGTCTTATCGCACAAACGAATGGGCAAAGCATCTAGATGATGCAGATATGCCTGAGCCACCACCGATCCAGCCGATCGAAGAGGAACAGCCGAAGGTTCCTGTGACGAACGAAGCATCCCCTGCTCCGGTACGCGTCAAAGAACTGCTGCAAACACCGCTAAACGCGCAGCCACCACCCGTCGAACGCCGCGTCTCATTCAAGGAATTACGGAACTCAAACGAGGGTCATCGGGCATCCCACGAATCCCTGCAGCGGCAAACGGACAGGCCTGTAACGAGGTCGAATTCAATGGCCAACTGCCCGCAACCTACCACTGTCTCACCTGTATATCCGGATCCTCCTCATCCGCAGCCTCAACTGGCTCAGCCTGCACCACCCAAAGAACCCAAGTGGAAGGGACCTCCTCCACTTCTAGCAGTACGAGAGGATTTAATGCGCAACCGGGTATCGTCGACTTCGCTGTCGATCGATCCCTGGTTACGTAGTAGTCCCCGACAATCAACCTTTGGGCCATTGTCGCCCACTTCTCCTACCTCGCCCACATCGCCTATCATAGTTTTACCTACTCCGGGGGAAGCTGACGATGTACCCTTATCACAACGGCGCGCGATGCTGCAGCAGCAGCAACAACAACAACAACAACAACAGACACCACCCACACCACGAGCTCTCTTCCTGCAAGCTCCACTGCAGAGAACTCGATCCGGCATGTCAGATAACAACGCGCAGGCGGTCATGGCCGCATGGCGCCAATCAGTGCGCGAAGACCTGCGAGAGAAACGCGACCCGCTGGGCATGAACTCGAACCCAGCGAGCCCAACGAGCCCAACGAGCCCGGCTGACAACCAGTCGTCGTATTTTGGATCCCAGGCGCCACGAAATAATGCGGCAGTGAACCTTCATATCGAGAATGCGATTGCTGAGGGAATGCAGCGGGGTGATATGAATGATCTGCACCGGGAGGCCATGAGACGGATGCAGGCATCAGCAACTCGACGGGCATAGTTTGTTTTCTTGATTTATTTTTTTATGCGGGTTTGCTTTTTTATGTACGATATTGAAGTTTGAGATTCCCCTTTGAGTTCTGTCTTTGTTTTGGTATAATTTTCTTTTTCCTTTTTTTCATTTCTCTCTCTCTTTTTTTTTTTTTTTTTTTTCTTTTGGGAAACGATACGACGATAATTATTATAATATTGGAGACATGTATGTATATTATACAATTTTGTGAACCGAGGACAGCGTTAGTTAAGTACTCAAACGAACAGCCCTACCCTGGTGATCTGGCAAGGGTGTAATATTTATTATGTGAGCCTGGCATCACGTAGGGAGCGTCAGGGCAGGTGTACCACAATAATTGTCTGGTGCATTCTTCAGACAGTAAGGTGTGGACTGTGTCAGATCTGTATCGACGAAACTCGATATAGATCCAATTCTCTTGTATAGTCTGGTTGAGTTTCGGATGAGCGCAAGCAGCGATTGGATCCTTACTTGAGATATTATTATAGTGGAGGTATATATCAGGTTTATAATCACTGCCTCTGTTCTTCTTTTTTCTCTTTCCTTTCCTTTCTTTTCTTTTCTTCTTCTCTTCTGGTTTTTGCTTTTTTGTGAGTGTTTATCGCATGTTTGCTTGTTGACTTCATCTATTGACGGTTGAATGCGCTATATCTATAGTTCCACACAGGCACTGCTAATTCGACATCTGTCTCTCGATCCAGTCAATTGTACTCTCTTTTTTGTTCTTGTCTTCTCTTTCTTTATCCTCTCCTCTCTTTATTCTACTCAATATATTTTTCTCTATACAATTGAATGTTGGCCAGCCCCCTTTCTGCCTCTCTCCCGCCAATCACCGCCGGCTCCACTGTTCGCCCGATCTTCGACCTCCTTTCGACCATCGCTTTTTCAACTTCTTCCTTTTCTCGTCTTTCACCATTACGTCCTCCACCGCCCATTTGGTTTCCACCCCGCCAAAAACGGCCACCTCAATTGCTCCGCGTTCCCAGGTTCTATCATCGCCCGAGGTTCCGAGGTCGTTTGCTCCCCCTGTTGCCCAAGCCCCGCCTGGCCACCACCACCACCGCAGTCGCGACGAGGGCCTGACGGGGGCGAATCGTTACAAGACAACGTCGTATCCTCGTCATCAGGGACAACAACACCGGCACCAGCATAAGCGCGCGCAATCGACCCCGTTATCCGCCAGCAATCATTTCGGTGTTACCAATAACCCGCGTTGCATATTACGACCGCCGGCCGTTCGTCTCGCAAACCCAGTCAATCACGTTCCCCGTATCACCCCCGTCGCCGTTCCCCATCCGTGGCAGCTGTCCGACGAGAACCTTCCACTCGACGCGAGTCGCGACGCTTTTCCCTTACTATCCATCCCTGAGCGGCGGCGCAGTCGGTTGACTCCGTCTCCGTCGAGTTTGGTGGTTGAGCGCAGTCAGGGTGAGACGGAGAGTTGGCGCACGAGTATTGCAGTACCTCGTGGGCAGAGGCACAGTGGCACTTTGCCTGACGTTCATTACGACGACGACCACGACAACGAGAACGACTACAGTATAGTCACGGGAGAAATGGCAGCGACTGCGGATAATCTACGGCCTCCGGAACAGGCCCATCTGGCACGGGATGCAGCAGCAACAGCACCACCGGCAACGCCACGATCTCGCGAATTGCATTTGCCTCGCCATGTCCCATCACAGGTATCGCTCCGGTCACAGTCGCAGATTGCATCTATTCCGTCGAATTCGGGGCAACAACCACAGGCAGATCTGGCGGAGGAATTGGCCTGGGGCCCGGCACATCCTTGTTTTCCACATATCAACCCTCACGTTCCAATAGAGTCATCGGAATACACGTCGACACGAATTATTCGCATTCGACGCGACTGGATGGTCAAGGGCGATCTGGCACCGACATTCTCCAACCTCTACCCGGAAATCCTCGATCCGCTATTACCTGAACACGAATTCCGCAAGATCATCGCGACAGTCAACGACGAACTCAGTAAAGCGTTCGACCCGTATCGGCTGCGAAACTGGATTGACGGAGCTCTGGGCTTGGTGACCGGCTGGCTGTGGGAGGACATAGGGGCCCCAGCTATAAAACGGCATCTGCAACACGTGGAGGCGTGGCTGGAGAAATGGAACCGTGAAGTTGGTGCCAAGGATGGGGTACGGATCTGGAGTTTGCGGAGGTCGGCGTATATGTCGCTGGACATCCAGATTCCGGATCCGAAGGTTGGCATTATACACAGCGAGGATCCGTCGCTTCCTGGTACGAGGCCGAGTACCGGTGTTGGGCGGGGGGTATGATCTTTTCTTTTCTTCTATCCGTCTTTCGACTTCACTTTCAACTTTTTCTATTTTCTTTTAATCTTCGTTCTGGGACCACCACTACACCGCATGATACCTGGGAAATTGGGCCTAATATTTTATCCTTATCTCTTTCTTCGTTTTTGTTCATTATGATATCCACGCTTGATCGCTGACCTTGACGCCAACCTTGATCTTGATACCATCCATGTGTTGTTTTGGGGAGATAACGAACGAACCCCAGTCTTGTGTTTGTCTTTTTTTTTTTTATCTTTTCTTTTTGTGAATATGTCTCTATCTCTGGGCCTACTTTTTGTGTCTATAATTCCTGGACTTACTGTAATTTTAAAGTAAACTGGTTACTCGTCTTAGTAATTAGTATGTGGATAAGATACGTTGAGTGACTTTGGATGAGTGGATTGAATACAAGTTAATATTGACTGGTGAGACTATGGACTGTTCAACTCATGTAGGAAAGGATATGGTAACCAGAAGAGACTAGCTTCCATGATCAACAAACTGAACTGCTTAATCCATGTATTTCAAACGATCAATGGGTCCATCACAAACCACTCGAAGCGTAAGACAAAAAAAAAAAAAAAAAAAAAAAAAAAAAAAAAAAAGAAAAAAGGGAGGGGGGAAGCACACCAGTGACGTATGCTTGGGAAGCCCATGGAATGTAAAAGCTAGCTAGTTAGAAATGATACAAGATAACTTCATCCGCAAGACAATCACAGATGGCAATGTGACAACAACCGGCTTCCATTCGTGTGGCTTGGTAATGGAGGGAAGAAATTTGGTTATCCACAATATTCCTCAAGACTGACAGATGCTCGTTGGGCTGGAACATCTTCTAGTCTGGTTATATTTGACACCAAGGCTTTTATATCGCCCTGCTGTGTGCCCAGTATGGGTAGACTGATGGACCGACAGCCAGCCTGGGTGTTCCCGCCAACTTGACTTGACCCCATTGAGTTCTGCCATGTCGTTTATATGTGCCTTTTTAGATAGGCAAGCTCGGTTGCTTTTGGATCGCCATGGGTGGCTATTGAATGCTTGCGAAGTCAATTGTTCGATGCTAGGCCATTCAATTCGCCAGTCTGTCTTCTAACGAGGTCTGCTTTGTGGTGTCCACTTGGTAAAGTAGGGAGCGAGAAAAGGGTATGTGCAATTTCAGACAGACTTTTAACACGGGGCATGGTTCTAAACTGATCATAGTTAGTATACGATAGCTTTCTTTTCGTATGATGGAACTCGTGGGAATTGCATGTTATTTTTAACACATTGACTTTGTAGAATGTAGAAGAGCCAGGCTTGTTACGGGCGTTTATGTGTACGTATTATGGCCCGGATACAACTGTCACCGCAAATATTTGTTGATTGGTCTCGAATCGACAGGTTGTTCTTCAATCTGGCTGCTCTCTCTCCCCGGCTGGAGCCAGCTGGCCCACCACCTGTATATTGGTCACCGTGGTATGCCTCGCGGTATTTAGAAGCATGGCGACCTTTAGCTGCAGTGTCTAAATTATACAATGACTATAGCAGGGCTTCAGTCCTCAATTGCTTGACCTCAACTCCCATGAAGACCGGGACCTTCTTCAGAACAGCTTTGTTGTGATCCATAGACCAAGATATGATCATCTGGATATCCTTAGCAAATACTTGGTTGAAGGCAATAGAGCGTAGTCCATCTTTTTTGAGTTTTATGCTCATATGAGCTGGGAATTCACGCCAGCGTCCGTGGTTGGCTGTGTCCACTTTTCAACATTTGAAACGCGAGAGTTGCTGAGTATCGTTCGCATGTCCTTTTCTTGTAGCCCTTGGATGTGGATCACAGTGTGCTGCAAAACACGGTCTATAGTGACCGTTCGAGTAGATGTTAAGCCCACAATATAAGGGTTCCTAATTTGAAATAATAATGAATGTGCAGGCGCCCTGGAAATATACCTGCATAGATACTGCACATGTATATTGAGATATATGAAATAAATATGAGGATGGGTGCTCTATCAAGCCAAAAGGCAGAGTGGGAGAGGTGTATAAAGAAAGAGGGTTGGCAGTAAAATAAGGGCTGTTTATCACGTGACTTTATACTTAGTGTCGGAAATGTGGCTTAGTCAGGGTTGAAAGTACGTATCAAGCGTATATGGTTGAGGTCTCTAATTCTTGCAAAAGTGTGCTAGCTAGGATCCTATATACGACCGTAAATACCTTATAGAGTATACTAAGCGATTGTGCGGTTTCAAAAGCAGTAATAGCAGAGTAAATACGCTGCTTTGCGCCATATGATATCAGCAAGGCATCAATCAGGCATCAGTTGGTATTGTTCGGTAAGGAACCTCTATATTCCGACACTTAGCTTGCATGCAGATCGCCCGATCCCCACCCGGCGTCAGGACAATCGTCAATTGACCCCCGAACGACATCCCCGAAATGCTCTGACCCCTTACCATCCCCAACTAACCACCTCAATCGACCTCCAAAATGCTCTCGGGCATCCTCATCTTCAACCAGAAAGGTGAAAACCTCATCTTTCGCGCCTTTCGCAATGACTGTCGTCCCCGTCTCGCCGACATCTTCCGGATCCAAGTTGTCTCCAACCCCCAAGTCCGCTCACCCATTTTGACCTTGGGATCGACGACGTTTAGCCATGTGAAACACGAGAATATATACCTGGTGGCGGTGACAAAGAGCAATGCGAACGCAGCTTTGGTGTTTGAGTTTATGTATCGGATGATAACGCTTGGGAAGAGTTATTTTGGGAAATTTGACGAGGAGGCTGTTAAGAACAATTTTGTCTTGATTTATGAGTTGCTCGATGGTATGCTTTTTTCCTTTCTCGTCTTACCACGTACAGTGACTGATTGGCGGTATCGATTGATAGAAATCCTCGACTTCGGATACCCACAGAACACCGAAACGGACACCCTGAAAATGTACATCACAACAGAAGGCGTTAAATCCGCCATCGCCAACAACCCCACCGACTCTTCCCGCATTACAATGCAAGCAACAGGTGCTCTCTCCTGGCGCCGCTCGGATATCAAATACCGCAAGAACGAAGCGTTCGTCGACGTGATCGAAGACGTTAACCTTCTCATGTCCGCCGGGGGCACCGTCCTCCGCGCCGACGTTAACGGACAAATTGTTATGCGCGCCTATCTTTCGGGTACACCAGAGTGCAAATTCGGCTTGAATGACAGACTACTACTTGATAGTGGCACGGCCAATTCATCTGTGGCTGGAAACCGGGACGGAGCGATGAAAGCCACGCGCGCTGCGGCGGGGTCGGTCACACTTGAAGACTGCCAGTTCCACCAGTGCGTGAAATTAGGCCGCTTCGACGCAGATCGCATCATCTCCTTCGTCCCGCCAGATGGCGAATTCGAATTAATGCGCTATCGCGCCACCGAGAACGTCAACCTCCCCTTCAAAGTCCACCCTATCGTCCGCGAAATCGGTACCACGAAAGTTGAGTACAGTGTCGCTATCAAGGCAAACTACAGCTCGAAACTCTTCGCTACAAATGTCGTGATCCGCATTCCCACACCTCTCAACACAGCCTCTACCACTGAACGTACCAGTCAAGGTCGCGCGAAGTACGAGCCCGAGCATAACAACATCGTTTGGAAGATTGCGCGGTTTTCGGGGCAGAGCGAGTACGTGCTTACGGCTGAGGCGACCCTGACCAGCATGACGCATCAAAAGGCGTGGAGTCGGCCGCCGCTGAGTCTTTCGTTTAGTCTGCTCATGTTCACGAGTTCGGGGCTGCTGGTGCGATACCTTAAGGTGTTTGAGAAGAATAATTATAGCAGCGTGAAATGGGTGCGGTATATGACGCGTGCTGGTAGTTACGAGATCCGGTTCTAGTCGTATCTTGTCCCTTGTCCATTGGGCTGGGAGTTTTGGCGTTGTCTTTCGATTTTGGATATACTTCACCCCATCTGTCACATATACACCTTACACTTAATAGAGAGCATGGAGTAAGACTGCTCCATACAGAGTAATATATCTGGACATTTTCCCTAATCATTCTTAATGATATTGTAGGAGCAAGCTTTTTTTTTTTTTTTTTTTTTTGAGCAGATAGGATCCAAAACCTGCACTGGTGGAATTAAGAAAGAATTTCCTTTGTTCTGTTGATACGGCTTGAAAAAAAAAAAAAAAAAAAAAAAAAAAAAAAAAAAATTGCTTTAGTTAGAGGGCTGGTTTAGTGAAGCATGCGTGACAGTAGAGTCGGATGCGCGAGCGACCGCTAACTTGCTTAAGCTCGTTGGTATACGCAGCAAAGAAGACCTACAATTGGGGCTCCGCTTCATCGATACTGCCGTGTTGTTTCTTCACTTTGAAGCCTGCGAAAAAGGGACTTGGGACAGGTGGCGGTCGGTAGTGAGGCCAAGGTTATATGGGTATAACAGGTGCGAAGGAACAGGTGCTAGGCTAATCTCAAAAGGATAACCTTCTTTCCAACAAAGATATTGCGGAGTGCCTCTTTCATCGCGAGGGCAGATTGAGGAGTAGACGTATCAAGGAATAATAGATACAAAATCGGTGAATTTGAGGAGGCCAGCTCCAGGAGAATGTCTGGCATAGATTAGAACGAGATGAACTGAACAGCGAACTCATCCCATCGTGGAATTCGTAAACAGATGATAACATGGCATCCTGGCAAGCATTGGCTTAGACTCTGCTAATTATATAGCGGGTGCTCATCTTAGCTAGATTAGGTGCAAGAAGAAAAGGGAAAGTGTCAAGAAAAAGAAGAAACTGGCAAAATGAGAGGTTAAGCAGAGAATGGGAAGCACGAGAAGGGTGAGAAAGAGAAGAGGAAGAATGGGAAGAGTAGTCTTACAATGAATTCTTACCCGGACAGGTGCCTGAACTCTCTGTTGTCCATTCAATGCATTAGCTTCTGTGATTTATTTGGAGTACGAATTCAGCTATACATCTGACTAGAATATCCCAAAGAATACATACATCACGCTAGGAATTATTGGCAGCAGTAGCTTGTGAGGGACTCATATTAAACACAGGATCTTATATTACCAGTGCCGAACGCTCTACGCCTCTTATTGAGTCGCGGAATATGCTGGTTGAGAAAGCTGCAAGTACATCTCTACTTCTAATTTATGGCTTATTTTTGCATATTTAGGCGTGCTGTGGATTTTCTCGTAAATTTGTAGACTTGCATGATTATAGTAGACTAGCTGCGCTCCATATGTCTTTGCAAGTCACACATCTACCTGTATCGCGGCTAGTAGCCTCGCAACTCTTTCCTTTTCGCCTATCCCCCTCCATACTAAGAAATCAAATATTCAATGAAGGAGCAGTAAGGAGCAATACACCGTGAGGGAAAATCAATTGATCCTATATTGCAAAAAGTATTGACAGTTGAGGCTTTGCTTCCAATCGATTGCCACTTATATATTTGACTTGTACAATACCAGCAAAGACTGTTCTGTATAATAGACCTAAGTCAGTTGTTAGACCAAAGTGAGCTGTTCAATTCAGAGGATTTTGTGCACGTCGAAAGTCGACGAGCAAATCCTCGACTTCTTGGCTTTGGGTAGAAGTGCAAGGACGTAGTTGACCCGGCCTCTACTGATGTGGCTTGAATCGCGATAAAGTAGACGTGGCAGAATTTCAGATTGTTTTTTGCAGCTGGCTGTCGTGTGGGTTAGCATAATTAGACCATTTGGTTGTCGTGAGTATCACAGCAACTTACATATCTTTGGGTCGTAAGACGGAATTATGTCTTAGGGCAAATTTCAGGATATCATAAACCACCAAAGACCAAGCATTCTCATTTTGAAAATGATTATCGCGTTCTGTCGCCTCAGTATATATCTCATGAATATCTTTCCATAGTGGCTCTAGTTACTCAGGGGACGAGGAACTAGCATCGTCATAGGCATCGTCCGGTGGTCGTGACCAAACATTAATACTGTCCTTTTTATTTGTCAGATACATAGTGTAGTATAGACGGGACGAATCGTACTACCTTTAACTCCAAAGTACTTGTTTAGCGCGTTTTATTAGCATACCTGAAAAGGGCGTGGATATACTTCTCGCCGAAGTCACCCCTCATTCTTTTCTGCAGTACCTAAAGTGAAGCTAAAGTATAACTCTCACAGCGTTTGTTTTGAGAGTTATCTGTCAGGACAGTGGCTCACTTAAGATCATCAAAACAAATAGCACAGGAGAACTGTCTCTCATGAAAAGCGGAGAGACGTCTTTCTTTTGGTTATGGCGGAATCATTCGGGTCGAGAGGATATTGTGTTGGATAACACCAATAAAAGGAGATAGGGCAGATTCGATACGAGACGAGTAGTATTCATGTCGACAGAATGGGATGGGACGAATGAGGTGAGAAGACAAGGACCTCTCGTCTGATTTTTCTCTAATACGCAGCTACTATTCACTGCTTACTCTTATTTATAAATAATATATCCCTTTAGAGGCATTCATTCTTAATGGTTGCATGTCCGTTTTAATCCAACATTCCTCCGTGTAGATATCAATTGATACAACTAAGCGATAGGAAGCCTAAGGCAAGTAACCTACCCCACTGATTGTACGTTGCGTTGAGCTTATTTATTTTTAGAGATAAACAATGACCCTCAGGAACCGTCGATGGATTATAATTCTGAATCATAGTAGAATAGAGTACATGGTATGGAGTACATGGTAAATAACAACTTGAGACCGTAAACTATCACATGAATGTAGGAAAGTAGACAGGACAGTGGGAATATGGGCGGTAAATGGAAAGACCCAGAACCGAAACATCAAAACAGAGACATAAACATCATAGTACATTGAGCCAGCGATGCTGGCGACAGGATATCGACATAAAAATGCATAACCCATAGCATACAGAAACATGACAAAGGAAATTAATCGTCAAACGTAGATAAGATAACAGAATTCGAAAAGAAAAGAAAGATTCAAACGACCAGCGTTCTAACCAGTGGCGGACTATCCATCATCGTCGCAGGGCGATATTGCCTTGTCCGACGAGGGCCTGCCATCGTCGCTCAACACTAGCTTGGTCTTTCCCTATGCGCTGTGCGCATTCGTTCCATTGCTTTTTTGACAATTGGAATTTCTCGAAGACGGTTTCCATGAGCCGTTGGTCGTCCTCTTCTGTCCATTGGTTTGACCGTGTCGAGTCATCGGTTACTTCTATTGACGGAAGCGCGGAATCGGGATTGTATGGTTGTTGCGCGGACGAATCTTGCTGGTTCTGGTAACGAGGGGATGAAGGTGACGCGGTAATAGGTGGAGAGTTCAGCGAGTAGAAATCGGTCTGCGACAAGCCCAGCGGAAGATTGTAGGGAGCATGGCGACGACGCTTTGGAGTAGAGAACCGATTGCGCGAAGCGCTGTGGTCCACGGTCGCATCGTGGTTGTCATTGTTGGTGTTGTCATTATCTTCATCCGCTTCAAAATGATCTCGCCTCCGCTTGTTAACACCACGAGGACGACGCTCTGGTGTCCGCTCAGGCGACGAAGGTGTTGCAAGTCGTCGCGACCGGCTAGAAGAGGGCGTTGACCGAATATGAACGGGACTCTGCAGGCGCGCAGGCTTGGAATGTCGCGGAGAGGGCGCTGGGGACCCGTTGAGTAAAGATTGTAGTGCGCGACAGGTCCCCAACAGACCGTTTCCCATGGGGACTTCGTCGTCGGACGGGGGAGGAGTCGAGAGGAGGCGGGTGGCGGCGAAGCGCGACGGTCGTCGCACGTCGCATGAGAGCGCTGATGGGAGTAACATGTTGCGCAGCAACGAGGTGTTGTATTTTTGGTTGTTGAAGGCGAGCGATCGAGCAATAATGGATGGAGGATGAGTTATTCGGGTGGGAAAAGGCTTGTCAGGTTTTGTTGTGTGCGCGCAGGGTAGCGACTGTGTGTTTTTGCGCCGGAGGAGGTCTTGAGAAGCCAAATGGGCGATGAGGTGATGAAACTCAGACCAAGATATAAATAACGGTATGCGATTCGATCTGCATGTGGTCCGGGGATGCGACGAGTAGAAGAGGCAGCCAGGCAAGAAGAGAATGGGGGAATGACAGGATGATGAGGGAGAAGAAACACTGGCGGGGAGCGATAAGAACCCGGAAAAGGAGGCTTCCGGAAATGGTTTAGTGCGGGTGGTTGCCGGGAACGGCGAAGCGAGAGCCAAAAACAGTTATTGCAAAAACAACCGGATCTAGCAGACAATGAAGCAGTGCCTGACGAATAGCCGAAGAATTCCTCCCACCAACTGGGGCAAAGAGGGAAGAGTCTAAGAAGAGAAGAGAAAGAGAATGTGTACTCAGTACCCTTCGAAGGTTGCTCGGAGGGGCGGACGCCCTATATTTTGAGTGTCTATTACCAGTTGCCTTGGGCACCATGCGCTTCTACCTGACAACTGTATTCCTACACTGTCTCAGCAAATAGAAAGGAGAAGAGAAAGGGAGTCAAGGACAGCACAGGAGACACCATGCAAGGACACTAAAAGAAGCTACAGACAACGTCGATACCACGAGCGAGTACTACTCTTTGATCATGACTCTGCCCAGTTTCGCTTCTGCTTTGTTCACTGGCCACGGCCCCAAGGAGGAATGAGACTCGCTTTGATCAACCTGCGACATCTTTGTCCGGTTCCGATCTGTCAAGAAAACTTTTTTGCTGGGTCTCTCAATTTTCAGCTGGGCTTCTTCGGTCTGTGCCAGCGTGGAGATTTGGGACAATGGCAGCATTGCCTGTACAGTACGCTGTTCTATTTTGGTGCATAATACTAGTGGATGCCATACTCCGTACAGAGGGCCGCGTCGGGTCGGGTCGCATCGCGTCGCATCAAAGCCATTCCCAATAAACAACCAATCAAACCTTTCTCTACTCTCAGGATAACTCTCTGTATTGCACTCTGTAGAAATACTCGCACATCCTATGCACATACATGGACAAAGCCTGTCTCGTGCCTTTCCACGATCCTAGCTCCCTTCTAGGCACTATGATATAAGAACTCCCCATCTGTAGCACGAGAATCAGGTTTGCCTCTCACCAAGTACGATTTTAATTTCCATTTTACATCATTTCTCGCCATAAAATCTCGTACTTGTTCGTATATCCGGTTTCTACGCCAGTGTCGCGGACGCGTCGCGTGGCACGCGCGTCTACGCGAGAAACGCGTCCTTATGCGTCGGGGTCCAATATTGCTGTTATTGGTAATATTAGCCCGTGCTCGGCTGCATCACAGCCGTTGGACAATCAGTGGATCTCGGGGAATAACGATCAATCAATGCATTCAAGTGATAAGGGATAAGATACCCCTTATCCGGTTTAGCATACATACTGCAAGGTCAACATTCCTGAGCGTGAATGGGAAAAACAAAACATTCGACAGCGAATTCGGTGGCGGGGGTTCTTTCTTGTCTTTGTTGGTTTCAGTATACAGAATACTAGCTAGTTTATTCTATTTTCGGTCTGTCGAGTCTGTGCTGGGCCGTTTTGCCTTGCTTTGGGTGTGCATTTGCCTTGGTGCACAGGACGTACGTGCCTTCACGAGGCTGTCTGAGAGAAAAGGTTGCATTGCGTCTCGGGGATTTCTGCCGTGTAATCTACAGAGTACATATCGTACTTTGTGCGTTGGGGTAAGCAAGTACGTAGAATTGTCGGGTATGATCGTTATTAACAAGGATTAATTTAGTCATCGACGACGAACTCTTAAAGACTGATGCGAGGGGCTAGAAGGAACAGACGAAGCTCTGGCAAGCGTCGAGGCCACGACAACAGTGTAGACAGGCAGGTATAAATGATCTTATTCGCTATGTTCTACATGAAGTGCCGTATTCGTACACAATCGCTAAATCACTCATAGACATCTCCATAAATTGATTGGCATTCTAAGTAGTGACATAATAGATGGGTCTGGACATCTCGCTTAGGTCCATTGCGCAGCTTTCGGGAAGACACTGGATCCATAAGCAACATGTTGACGCTTCCCAGTCATCGCATTGCTGACTTCTTCATACACTTCGTCTTCAGGTACTTCCCACGGGTCTCTAGCTCGCTTCTTGATGGGGATCGGGTATGTATCGCTTGTAAAGGGCAACGGGATTTGTTTTCCGTTCTTTCCCGTGGTTATGTGTGTAGGTGGATTGGGAATGTCGCCCTGCGCACTGAATCCCATGCCTAGTTTTTGCTTCTGATGACAATAAAATGACTCGCCTAATTCAAAACTTTCATCTCTGGCCCTGTTATGCGTTGGTAGATCCGGATCTGACAGAGTAGGAGAGACCGGGCGTTCACAATCAGTCGCGCTTCCGGAGGACAAAGAACATTGTGAGGGATTCTCAGAGAATGAAGTTAACGGATGAGATAATTGGCCTCTTCTCTCCATACATGCATCAACCGCACTAGCCTGGTGCAACTCGCGAGTCTTGCGAATCTCAATAAGGCTGCACAAATCAACCATCAACGGCCCTTGATGTACTCGAGGCTTCCAGTCTTTGATCGATCTCCTATACAGGGCTTCAAACTCACGCTTGTGGGCTCGGTTCGTGAACCATGAGTGGCGTAGCGCATGCTTCACTGTCATCCGCTTCATCTCGTCGAGTACAAGTAGTTGGCGGACAAAGTCTCTCGCACGCGTTCCGACATGGTGCCACTCCATATCTTGTTCGAGCCTTACAAAGTCGCCATTCTGAGGCAGTTGTGCCTGGTCCAAATTTCCTGGGTCTCGGAAGGGAGAGTCGCCTGTGAGGAGGATGGCCGTGACACAGCCCAGGGACCAGAGGTCTACGGCCTTCGTATAGCCTTTCTGGTTGGATTGGAGGACTTCCCTGAAGCATCATATTAGTTGATTCCTGCACGGATGACTCGTCTACTCACGGAGCACTGTATTCAAATGTGCCAATCATCGTCGACATCCGCTCTATCATAGGCTTCACGAGTCTGGCACATCCAAAATCCGTGAGGATCACACGACCCCCATCCGCGAGGGATGTCATGAGGATATTGTCCGGTTTGAGATCGCGATGCACGATATCGCGGTCATGGAGGTAGTCCAGGGCCATGAGCACTTGTCGGACCACAACAGCAGACTCGATGTCACCTAGTTTCCCTCCTTTATACTGAATAAAGGAGAACAAGTCGCCTGCTGTGATGAGATCTTGGAAGAGATAACTGCCCGGTCTTAGTTTGGCATACGAGACTGGTTCTGATCTACTTACATGGTATTGCTGGACCTTATTACCTTCTCCACGCTGATAATATTAGGCTATCCAGTGTTAGTACACCATGTAGTCAGTATCACCCATGCACCACTTACATGGCTCAGGTTCTCCAGAACTTTAGCCTCGCGGTGATAGATATCCAGCTTCTCCTGGACCTTCTTCGAAAGATAGTTCTCCAGTCCACGAATGGCAATGACATCCGCACGCTTGTCGTTGTTGTTATTTACCATGGACGCCTGCCACTTGTTCCTGAAGAACTTCGACTTCTGTTCTTCGATCTCCTTCGTAGCCCTATCCCTCATGGCTCGAAGGTCGACGACCTTACACGCAAGCTGCTGGCCATTGTCCTTTTTGTATGCCATATGGACCCGTCCGTAGGCCCCGGAACCTAGTTTGCGCGGTGTGATGACGTATTGCTCCTGGAATACCTTGGATCTTGGTGAGCACATACATCGCTCCAGGAAAACAAGCAATACGTAGATGCCCACCTTCATCTCAACCTTCTGCAACATATCAAACCACTGATCCTCCTTATACTCCTCACGAAGAAAAATGAGGTGAATATCCAGCGTCAATCTCAACTTATCCCCATGGCTTAGCAGAAAACTGCCACTCCCTTCACCCATTCGATAATCGTTCCACATTGTGCCATTCATTGAGTGGTCCTGAACATATACCAAAGGAGCCACTTCACCTGGGTTCTCGCGATCGAAGAGGATGGTGTATATGCGTAAGTGCTTGTTCGATATGAAAGGGTCGTCGATGACATATTGACTATACGGTACAATGGAAAGTTAGTGTTGGATGCATCGAATTGAGTCGGATGAGGGGTTACCATCGCTTGCTATCACGACCAACGTAGACTTCTTCGTTGCTGTCGATGCTTCTTGAGTGACTGGTTTGTCCTGTTCGCGGGTCCCATCTGGCCAAGATGCCTACAGTGTTGCCCTCGGTTGAAAAAGGCATTTCGAGTCATTGGGGTCACAGAGATAAATCCATACGGCAAAATATATCAGTGCTAAGAATTGAAGAAGGATATATGATAGCGATGGTAATGGCTGTTACGCGTTAGGTTCGTCGCGCTGCGACGAACTCGTCTGATTCAAGTGATCACGGGACCCTAACTGACGCTAAAGCGAGTCCGCCATATAACACCCAAAAAGTATTATATACACTCTATTACTCTCAAGGTCTAGCAAGTTTTCATGAAGCATGATCATCAGGGCATATCATAAAGCAACCAAAGACATCTACATTGCTGCAACCTCAGTTCCCTTGCATCCTTCGAAACCGCTCCTCAGCTGCTCTCGCACGACGCTCTCTTTCCAACCTCATCCTCATCTCCGGTGTCATCCCCCGCATCTCCTCTTCCCGTTTCTCAGCAGGCGTCTTCTCCAATGCTCCCAATGTCCGACCACCAGCATTCTTCCGTTGCTCTGTCTGCGCTGCCCTCTCTGCTTCCTCCTTTTTTAAACGGTCCAATTCTGCTTTGCGTCTGTTCGATTCTTCCTCTTCAGCGGACTTGCGCTCTCGTTCTGCTCGGCTGTCTGCGTCGGATTTGGAGATCGCTGAGGGAACCTTGGCGGCATCCCAATTCCACTTGGATTCTCCCAGTTCGTGACGCGCAATACGAAAAGCATCACGGGTGGCGCGGTCTCCTGCAAGTTCGAACGGTGTTTTTCCTTCATCGTTCGCGGCCGTTGGGTCTGCATTTGCTTTCGTAAGAAGTGCCAGGACAACCGAGTGTGAGCTGAGGTTTGCTGCGAGATGAAGTGGCGTAGGACACCTGAAATTCTGTTGCAGATCAGACGGTTTGAAGGTGAAAGAGGGAAGTATAGAGTTGCTGGAAATGTAGGACATTAGAGCTGGAATTTTGGAACGACGGATGAACGCTTGAATCTGTGTCGTGTGAAGAAGCGCTTCTTCATCTTCTTTAGATATTTTTGGTTTTTCTGGTTGCTGTTGACGTGGTGCTTGCTGTTTCGCTGCTTCTTCTTGGCGTTGTTTCGCCTCGGCCGCAGCGAGTGCTGCTTCGTCAACCTGGCTCACTTTGACGCGAGTGAGTTCTTTGAAGCATCGCAGAAGCTCGGCCTGTGTAGCTCTGCGGGTACTGAATGGGAAACCTCTTATTCTTGCGTCGTTATGTTTCAAGAATTGACCTTCGTACTGCCCAAACAGGATCCTCCGGTTCGTACTTCCAGTAGCCCTGATGAACAGAAACTGAGAATCGTCTATCATTTGTTTCCAGTCTTTGAATAGTTCTCTGACCTCCTTCTCAAGTGCAGCTTCATTATAACGTCGTAAGCTGGAACCTGCTGAATGTGCGGCGCCTCTTGAAGCGTCGCTAGCCGACTGCGATCCACCCTGCTTCCGTCGCGTGGTATAACGATGGAACGACTTGTGCGCAATCACGCGCGCTTGCCTGTCTTCTATGCCACCTTGTCTGCGATGAATCTCTGGTGCTAAAGAAACCAGCATCGCCGCACAATGACCACCACCGATCATGCACATGAAGATATGAGGACTGGGTTTCGACTGAGTCACGGGGGCTTCTACAGCAGGCCCGTTATTACGCTGTGATCTGATTGGGTGCAACTGCTTTTTTCGTAGCGAATCGGCGAGATATGTAGGCTCGTCTTGCTCAATGTCACTGAACAGAGCTCTGTAGATACCCAGCGACGTGTTTGAAGGCAAAGCGGAGCTCGAAAACCACAACAAAGGATGTTTCCCAGCATTCTGCTTTTTCGATGATACCTCCTCTTCATCGTTTGCTTGCGAGATCTTAGCTTGCTTTTTCAGCAGAGCAGTGAGTGTCGGCTGTGACGCATCTCCCTCGTCCTCTTCCGATGACGACTCAGATCCAGATATAGATTCGTCCAACTCCCCAACCGCCTTGGTGAACTGTGTCTCGTCATAAGTCGGGGTGCCGCGTAGTTGTGCCTTGAGGTTATACCGGTGGTGATCCGATCGGACGTGGTCTCGTTGTTCCTGCACGTTGGAGAAGGATACTTTGCAAAGGGCGCATGACGAGGCGGTTGCGACAGCGTGTTCTTGTTCTGCTGTTTCGCTTGCGTCTTGGACTTCTTCCTCGCCATCACTTGGTACGGCGACGGCTTGGTTCTGGTTTTTGGCGCTTAAGGTTGAGAGTATTTGCGGCGGGAGATCATAAACTGCGAAAGTTAACAATAGAACTTCTGGTAGTGAAAATCGATGGCGCACACTAACCGTATAATGGTCTCTTCAGGAGATCTTCAGCAGATACTGCGCCTGCATCCATTGCGACGTTGTCAAGCTAGCAAATTGTTGATGACGAAGGAACATGACTCCAAACAAGAAATGCGGCAACGCCCCTCAGCAAGACTTACCGCCTTCACGTAAGGCAGACTCGCACTGTAGAACAAATTCTTCCAAGAGAAAAAAGAAGAAAAGAAAGAGAAAATCAGATTGATGGATGAAATAACTACGGCCTAATCTACAGTATCCTAACAAGAAAAATCGAATTGTCGTGATGGTGTCTTCTTGCTTAGGGCAGGCATTAACCACTAACCCTTTTGGGACAGATATAGATGAGACCAACATCTGGAGGCAGCTGTTTTCCTACCTATACAGTTATGGACTCTGTCTAATGTGTTTCTTCTCTTATCGGCCTTCCCGCTATACACTTCAGGAATTATCTCTCATGAAACCACAACTTCGATATATATGTACCAACATGGTGATGTTAAGTCGGGATAAGCTGGAACTGATGCTACGAGAACATAAATCAATAAGTACGCAGACCTATCTCATTATTTAGTGACTGCTGGCTATGCGTCTTCGATCTTCTCAAGTTAAATGACCTGCTTTCTGCCTCGTTGATATCTAGAGTTTTCAACACGTACGCTCAGCGATTCCTCTACCTCTCGATCCCATGGAACTGGTGCAAGGTCCCTCTGAAGCGCATCCTGCAGTTGTTGAGACCCATCCTGCGGAGTCCAGAAGTGGCTTGAAACATTAAGCGGGTTGACCTGCGATCCACCGAAAAGCACGGTTGGTGGACTGACGACAAGAAACTTGGTGCATATAATACAGACAGACAGATCGTTTCCTATGACGAGTTCAAGGATGTTTTGGCGCGATCCCAGGCCATTGCTGATGGAACTAGCTTTCTAAACGCTTTTGCGTGGAAGAAAGCTCTCTAAAATGGAAATGCTTATGCGTTCGTTGCCATTCTCCTGTCCCAACTGCACAATCTTTGTGCCCCTCGTTTAGACTTCACATTTATATGGAAGTCAGGTTTTCCGGGGCTATGTTGAAGCATGCCTCCCTTCACCGCACCGGAGGGAATGTTATCAACTTTCGAGTCTCTTGCTTTTGTAGACTATGGTAGCAATGCCCCGATACCATCTAATTCGAGTACGTGAATGGTGACTATATAGACGGCCACCCTTCTTGTGAGTCTGGTCAGTTTATGGCTTGGTTCTATTTGCCGTCTCTCCGATATCTCTCTGGGTCTGGCTACAATATTGTCAGGAGATCCTGCTATGTAGGCGACGAACCAGCTTCGACCGTGTGCGTTCGCTTGTTCTCGCTCGTCCAACTGTCCGAGAAGAGGAAGCAATACACCTGTTGTACTTAAGAAAATTCCGAAGAGACTTCATACGGGAATGGAAGTACCTGACCTGGAAAACAAAGAAGCTATCTTGGAATGTTTGACACACATCAGCAAATCGCTCTCTTTCTTTTGGAGTAGTGCCCATGCGCCCCGCAGTATCGGGCCAGTCATAATTTGTGGAGACTGAATTCAAGCAACAGCAAATGGAAGCCTTCTGAAGGGGCTCCCTGGCTGTGTAATTTCCGGCTAGTCTAGTCCTGCGGTCTCATGAATGAGGCCCGTAACGATCCATTAATAGAGCCTGCCCTGGTAAGGTATATATGTATATAGGGCCATATATGACAATGTCGAGAGCAAATAGATGAGTTAAAGCCGGAACCCGGCCGACTGTGGTTGGTGACGATATATCGCCCGCAGCTGGGCACTTTGATGCTTGCTACTTGGGGATAATTGGTACTCTGAGATCTAATCTGTTGTTTGGTCAAATATAGCGACAATAACACAACGACTGCTACTCTTAATAGATAGTATCTCATATGGTCGGACTGACTCGCTTACCGCCAAAATGAATATCCTCCATGCCACAGTAGACATCATGTGACGTTGATCGGGTCCCACTATTCTCGGACGAAGCCTTGGCTGGAAACAAGTGTTTCTGGGGCATTTATAGAGGAAAGAGGTGTAGAAAGTACAGAATACAACGCACTGTAAATGAAATAAAATAGTTAGCCATCCATTCAGCTTCCAAATAAATAATCTTCGTCGGCAGTAAAAAAAGCTTCACCTCTACTTCGTTAGTCAGCATATCGGAGCTACGGCGATCTTAACCCCGGGCTTCGATTCCGCTCTCTTCTTAGTAACCGCTTGCGGCTTACGTCCTTTGCCTCCGCGACTTTTCAAATTCATTTCTTCCTGTTCCTATTTTGCTGTGAAAAGAAGGAGGACCACGGATTTAGGATCTGGGGACGTTCTTTTACGAAAGATGCTTGATGGCAATTCCCAGGCGATCCTAGGGAATTCCGTCCCGGGATCGTCTCCGTTATCTTCCAGTCCCGAGGCGGTATTCCAACCCCAGCATCGACAGGCTTTTTGCGGCGATGTCGAGGGTTGGGGTCCCATGAGCCCCTTCAGATTTGATCTGACACCGTGTTTTCTCGATGCTGGTGTAGCTATTGTTGCAGCATGGGGGTTGTTTATGGGTACTGGTGCTATATGGTTCCTGCTGAAGAAGCGCGTTCCTCAGCCAATATCGAAAAACTGGCATTTCTACGCTAAACTAGTGAGTCGCAGGTCACACTGCTTTGGATACATTTCAAAGTGCTTTGAGGAGTGGCATGGCTAACGCACAAATTTCTTATTCAGGTCGTGTTGG